GGAAACATTATTGAGAAAATGTGTTCCTTTTCATATATTAGTAAATTATTCAAAATTTTTAATTGATTTTCAATTTAATTCTATTATGGTTCAATACATATTATGATTTATAATCTTTGGAACTTATTGAGTTTGTCTTTATGATCTACTATATATATGGTCTGTCTTTGCTACATGTTCCATGTTCACTTGACCAAAATTAAAATTAATTAATTAATTATGAGTATGTTTGTTATATGTTTTGAAGTGTCAGGTTAAGTTAGTTGATAATTTTCAAATCTCCGTGTCCTTTTTTGACTTTAAAAATAAATTGGTTTGCCTTTGCAGGTACTAAGCCAAAAGCCTCAAAGTACTCACCTTCCAGTCTGGGTTTTACCATTTCCTCTTTAAGATGAATCTATTTTTGACTAGTTTGTTTGGATGTCTGCTATTAGATTTATACACTGTATCAATAATCTGTGCTCCTCCTCTTTAGAATAGTTGAAGTTTTTATTTTAAGCTTCAAATTAAAGTGGAATATATAAGCCAGGTGTGATACATGTCTTTAATCTCAGCACTAGGAGGCAAAGTCCCAAGGTTCTTTGTGAATTCCAGACCAGCCAGGGCTATATAGAGAAAACTCTAGCTCAAAAAAAAAAAAAAAAAAAAAAAAGGAACATGGAACATACAGTTTTTAATTGAAGTATAGTCCATTTACATTTAATGTAGTGTATTGCATTGATTGGATTTCATTTGGCACTATATATTTTCCTATATGTTCATATTGTTCATTTTCACTCTTGTTTTCTTGCCTGGTGCAGTACTAATCAAGTATTTTTAAAATTTATTCCATTAATATTTTGCTATTAACTTTTTTTCATTTTGTGGTTTATAGTCCACATCTTTGACGTGCTATAGTCTATCATGAAGTTAGGTCATAACCACTGAGTCATCTTTCCATCTTTCTGGAACCTTTTAAGTACTAACTGGTAACACTAGTTCTTAGTAATCTGATTTTTGCTGTCATTCATAACCTTTGACCTTTTCGCTAATTTCTTTTTCCTCTCCTAGGACTTTAATTGCATGTGCATTAGATGTCTGATAGTGATACAGTCCGTTCAGTCTGTGTTTAGTTTTCCAGCCTAATTTTTCTTTGCTTCGTTTGTCCTGCTTTCAAATTCATCAGTCTTTTCTTCTACAATGTCTAATCTCTACAAATTTTTTTTTACAGCTTTTCTTGTCCTCAGTTATATTCCTTACCTTCTTTAAACATTTTGGTACATTTATAATAATGGCTTTAAGTCTACCTCATAATTCCATCATCATATTTGTTTCTGTGTTTCTTCTGAATGGTTTTTCTTTTGATTTTTAACTACATTTTCCTGGTTTTGTGCTGCACATTGTAGATGGTATGTTGTGGACTTGACTAGGTTGTGTTTTCTTCCTTTGAAAAGGATTGCCTTTGTTTTGGCAGGCAATTAATTTCCTCACAGATCTACTTAATGCTTCAGAGTCTTGTTTTTAAGCTAGGTTAGAGCAACAGGAGTAGCTCTTACTCGGCATTCTTACTCGGCATTGTGGTAGCTCTCCAGGACAAGCCCTTTCTGTGACTCTGCCAAAGTCATGAGGACTTCTCTCAGATAGGTGGGACCCCAAAGATCTCCTAATCATGACCTCTGAGTCCTCATTCGCATCATGCACCCACACATGCACACTCATGCATACACACACACACACACACACACACACGTATACACGCACACAAATAATTACTTTCTCTGTGCAGAGATTCACTCCACACAAATGATTTAGAAGTAATCAGCTAAGGCCTTTAAGGAAGTCCCACTGCACATTTCTGAAATTCTCTATTGGCTCAGTTATCTGTTCTTTGTTATTCTACCCTGTGGTGTCCAGCTTCATCAGAAACCCTGACCTTGACCACTGTCCCTCTGGTCCCGGTTCAGTGAGTGGGTATGCCATTGGGTCCTGCTCTGTTCTCTGAGTTTACTATCTCCAGTGGAGATTTTGGATTAAGTTGGGACTCACCCAGTCAGCTCCGTGGCTCTCACCATCTGTTGATGAGGTCTGCATGTTGTGATTTGTTTGTCTAACTTCATCAGAAATGCCCATCCTGTCCCTGTCACTGCATTGTGGCCAGAAGTCTTCTTTCCAGGACAAAATTCCATAAAGGTTTCCACCTGTCCCCACCTTCAATGTTAGAGCGCCAGTGATTCCCAGGCTTCACCTCTGCTTCTTAGAATTTAGACAGACAGCCCATGCCTCTCTTGCCTCTTACTTCTCTCTCTCTCTCTCTCTCTCTCTCTCTCTCTCTCTCTCTCTCTCTCTCTCTCTCTCTCTTTTGCCTTGGTTAATTTTTTCATCTTCCTACACAAGAGACTTTGCACCCTGTCATTGTTTAGGTGTTTTGCATACAAAAATCTCATGTGTGTTTCTTAGAGTGGAAAGTAGCCAGCCTGTCTGAGATGCTCATTTCTGGGACAAGCCCAGGGAGGAGCTCCAGCCTGATGGTGTTCCATGTGAGGTCAACATGTGGAGTGGACTGATGGGATCCATCCATGCTTGGGGTCAACCCATTGAATGACCCTGAAGTGGTGACCAGACCTCTGTGACCCCTTCTGCTGTGCACTTTGGGGCTATGGGAGAATAAGGATAGCCTGGTAGCACTATTCCAGCCTCTTGTGTTGAGCTTCCTGACTTTGATGCCCTCAACTTCCGCGTTCCAAATTTCACTCTTCTGGCTATTCATCATTCATTCATGGATGGCATGATTCTTCTTGGTCACTTGCTGTGATCCATTCAGGCAATGAGCCCCACACTCAGTGTATGAAGATAGGGAGACAAACTGGACCACTTGGGCTTTTAGAGAGCAGAGTCATCAAAGGTCACAGCAAGTGTCACTGATGGCAGTCAGTTCCTGGAAAAGAAGAAGTTTTGGGGAGGGCTCCCAAAGGAAGTGCTGTTCGGTGCAGCACATAGGCCCAAACAGTCAAAATGTTAAGGGATGAAAGGAAACAGCTTGGACAAAGGCCTCGAGTTTGGAAGAGAATGGGTGTTGGAAGAGTTGAGAAAGTAGGGAGGTGAGGGACCTGGGCAGAGTCTGGTAAGTGAGGATACCCAGGCAGGGCAGCTGGAGCAAACAGATGATTGTTTATTAGATCAGGTGCTTCATAGGTGCCCCGAGGTCCCTGCTGTAAGGAATGCCAGGATTTTCACAGCAGGAATCAACTGCAAAATAGTCCCTAGAAGTGGTTCTGCGGTGACAGGCACGTCTCATGGGAAAGCAGGTGGCCAGGCAGCTCATGGACACTGTCCTTGTGCTCAAGGCTCTGGATGTATGGGTGAGTGTCTCATGATGCGTGGAGGGGATATGTGATATTGATAGGCCTTGTTGAGCTTCTGGCTGGCCTCAGGTCCTATACCATCCATCACCTTCTTGCTGGCTGTCCTATTGGAGCTCCTGGGCTTAGATTCCCTGTTGCTAAGCAGGAGGGTCAGTAGCAATTTCCATGTGAGGAGCAGTTACTTTAGGGTATCTTTCTGGCTTCTGAATGCCTCGCTGAATCCCTAGGCAGCTGCCCACTCTGCATCATATTGCCTCATCAGTGCCGGTAGGAAGAAGAAACTGTGTTGTGTGTAGTACAGAACCCAGGACTGCTGAAACCGGAAGTCATGGAGCTAGGCTTCCACCATGAGCTGGCTTCTCCAGCCTCAGTATATGCCTGAGAATGAGCCTCTAGCCATGGCTCCTAAACTATCTCCCATGGGGAGACAGAGGAACAGTCAGAGGTGGACCCAGGGCAGCAGTATTGTATTGAATGTGCCAGGTTATTCTGTGGGAAGGGAGAGAAGGAAAACATTGTGGCGTCCTTTGCCAGTGAGAGCTCCCTGGGCTTTCTTCAGACTGGGGATCTTCTCAGCTAGGCTGGAGCTTGTTAGAGCTGCGACTGAATGACCCCCTTTCCCCTGGCATGGCAAGCCCTGTTAAAAGCAAGCATCTCTGAGCTGTGCTCAGCTCCTCATGAAAGAGAGCTGTGGTTTGCATGGGACCCAGATTCCTTGGACCTCGACTTCTGCATCAGTGCTAAGAATGGTTCAAATCCCTTTGTCTCAGCCTCTGGTATGGTGGTTTGAATCTCCGACTCCCAGGGTGGACACTGCCCTGAGAGCAGGATTCTGACAAGGCCCCACCACCCTCACAGAGCCAGAAATCCAAATTGAATTAGAGCAATGACCCCAAGCCCTGAGCACAGGTAGGGCCATAGGATGGTGCTCGTTCCTGTGGGTTCTGGGCTCCCCTCCCCTCTCTGTCTGCTCCCCTCTTTCCATCAAGGGACATAGCTGTAGACATTACATGGTCTCAGGAAGCAGGCCTTGTCTGCTGCTCTTTTGAGTGAGTCAGGTTAGGACCAGGTCCAGGGCATCCACCAGAGGTGGAAACGGCCTGAGAAGCCATTCATTCTCAGAACCTAGCTCTGTAGAGGGCGCAAGTAAGAGACTTCCCAAGCCTCATGGGGGACAGACAAACCTCTGTGACAGTGACAGGCCAGAGTCTTCTAAGAACAGCAGTTCCCAACCTCCATCCCTTCCCTACTCCACCATTCAACCCTAGCTCATACTGCCTGTCTGTTTTCCATCATCACTTATGAGCCAGACTCCCATGAAGGAAAAGGACCGAGACGCCAACATCCTAGACAATGTACTTGGGCCTGGGGTGATAGTCCAGATGCCCTGAGCCTAAGGATGTAGACACTCAAACTACGCAGAAGTGATGGCGACCAACAGCATGAACTAGAGGTCAGGTTTCCTTTAAGTGAAAGAAACCAAGACAGTTTTGAAAGGTTCTCAGGCTGTGGGTGGGAGCTGAGCCCTTACTCTCTGTAGAGTGAGGGCAGATTGGGCATGGATGTGTCAGAGTGGGCATTCTGGGACCGGTGGCCTGAGAGGCCAGTCACTTGGCAGGCTGTGAAGGCCCTCAAGGACTTAAAGCATAACCCTCTCAGGTACCGCCCCCGGGTGGGAGCCACCGGAAGATCCAGACACGGGTTCTGAGTGTTCCCATCCAGAGGTCACTCCATCTCCACGCTTCGTGGCAACAAAGACCCAGACGAACCAGTCCGGGAAAAAAGCTCCAGCCTCCGTGGTCCGATGCACCACCCTCTTACACCGCACCCCTCCAGCTACCCAAACTCAGACGTTCCGGACTCCAAACTCTGGATCTCCAGCAAGCAAGGCTACTGCAGGTATGAAAGGCCTCCATTACCTACCCATGCCTCCTTGGTTCCCTGCCCGTCACCTGCCATAGCTGTTCCCCTGCAAGACTAAGACTGGAGGTACCATCCTGCTTTGGCACAGATTGGGACCCATGGCCTCTGGATACCTGTAACCCTGCCAGACCAAGTTCTGGACCATGATTGCAGGGTTAAACAACAAAATTTATAAACATTTTAAAAGTAATTCGATATATTTTCCCCAAATCATGGCCTAAGGGGGTCTGTTTTATTTGGCCTTTCTGAAGTTTCAAAGCTTTTTATTAAATAGTAATTGGAAGTATTTGAACATGAGAAGATGTATGTAGAACTCTGGGCTTCTAGATGTGCTGAGGTGTCTGATCTGGCTCCTAGGCCATGTGCCTGCAGGGGAATGGTTGGTGCCCTTTCACGGCTGGTGTCTGTTCACTTCCCCTGTTCTTCCATCCCCACCCTCCCCCCTGCTGCACCCCTGCTGCAGTGACCCCATGGCAGTTATCCTTTACCATTGTGATCACTGTTGTCTGTGACCATCCAGCCCTGTTCATTCTGTCTGGAACCCTTGGCATGAGTTGGTGTTTTCACCTTCCAGAAAACTATCCCAAGCACTTCAGCACAAAGATGGAGCTCTGTCTCTCTGGCCTCCCACTCTAGAGATCCCCCATGAAACCCTCCTGGAGATAGAGACCCAGCAGGAAACCAGAGAATGCTAGTTCCAGAAGTTTCCAGGCCCATGCAAAAAAGGAGCCCTGGCTCTAGAAGATTACTGAGCAGCGAAGTCCCCGGTGATCATTTCCTTCAGAATATAAGACCTACTGTGTACTAGGTGCCAGCTACCAGGAATCCTGGGTCTCAGACTTTCCTGAGGAAAGAGCCTTGGGCCACCCATCCAGATGATGCTGTACTTTCTGGGGCTGTGGGCCTATCCACTAAACCCTGAGTGATCACATTGAGACTTCAGATAATTGAGCCACTGGTGTCATTTGGTGACCAATGACCTGGCTATGTAATTAGTGGTGCTTGCCTTTCTTGTGGTTTACAAGTTAATTTGGGCCAAGCTGTGGTCTTTTGTTTAATGTGCTTGATCTCCCAAAAGGAGGGGAGCCAGTCAACCTTGAAGTGTGGGTTTTTCAAGTACCATGTTGTGACAGTTGTGTAGCCCTGTGTGGGCTACAGAGTGGGTTCAAGGCCAGACTGGGCAGCTTGGTTAGACCCTGTCTTAAAGTAAGAAAATGGGGTTGGGGATGTAGCTCAGTGATAGTGGGAGCCCATGCTTGGATTCAGCCCTCAGCATCTTGAAAGAGTTAGAAGACTGGCCGTCATGATGCTCTCGGAGGGAGACTTGCAGTCATCAGATGGAACCCTCATGGCTTTCTGCTTTGTCCCTCCCCTTGAGCTTTGTGGATGAGTTTTTAAAGGCCCTCACCTCTTGCTGAAAATTGTCTGTGGGACTGGCATGGCATTTGGCACTCACTGAATGTCACTATCTTCAGACAAGTGTCCAGCAAGCCATGGGCACATCAGCGGTTACCTCTATGAGACTTGGAAGCCCTGTGGTGGATCCTACTTGGTCTAACCATCTTGTCGAGTCCAAGGGCAGCAGGTTGGGAACAGGAAGTGGCAGATTCTGTGGAATGATGCAAGGTAGAGACTGTCATTATCCTGGAGAATATGGCTGTTTGTGTGCATATTACACCTGAAATACCACACACTGGTTTCCAAGCAGACACCCTTGCACCAGGAAAGTCTAGCAATGGGGGACATAATACAGGAGTTGGTGACCTGAGTTGCAGTAAGTCATACCCATGTGCTAGTCAGAGCAAGGATTCTGCCTACCTGCCTGTTCCCCTGTGGTAAAGAAGGCGATCTCTTCCCTCTTACAAGAGAAACCTGCCTCCAGTCAAGCGTCACAAGCTATCCTAGTGGATGGGAGCCTGCTAGCTTCAGTTTGTTTGTCTGCCTATTCAGTGGGCAACACCGCACAGCCTCAAGGTGTTGGGAGGAGTAAAGGAGGCCATGAAGGCAAAGTTCTGACCTAGTATCTGGTATACAGTGGGTGCTCAAGAGTGAGAGCCCTCACCCTCTGTAGATAGAGAATGAATGGACCTCTGCCGGTTTACATGCTACCTAGAGTTATCACCCCAGGCTCTTATGGACACACAAAGAGTATGGTCCTAATGGCAGCAGCCTCTACAGGCTATGGGAGACTTTGAGGTGACAGTAAAAGAACTGAGCAGGCCTGTAGGAGCTGCCTCCAGCTGCCTTTTGCATCCATCACCCATGTCACCCATGACCCAGAGCACCAATGCCCAGATCTGTGTTGTGCAGGGTGGACCTGGTGAGTGGTGTTTCTCCAAGTTATTTCCCAGAAACACCACTTGGAAGGATATCGCAGAATCCAGTCTTTAAAATGGGGCTATGCTAGAACCCTCCATATTTTGGAGGATACATTAATTAAAGTTCAGTGGCTCACCTTCTAGTCAGTGTCTCTGTGCCTTGCGTAGCCTCATCCAAGCTGTTTAAAAGGGCTGGCTGGGTATCTCAAATTGACTTTCCCGAGACCCTCATCCCCTGGACCAACCATGCCCTGTAGCACCTGGAGCACTGTGAATAGGCTGTGTTATCTTCTGCAGGCGGGGCTATAACTGTAGAGTTCTGCTTGGCTGAGCCCATCTCATTATGATGGGGTTTCCAGAGAGAGCCTGGGAGATGGTGAGCTTTTGGACAGGTGCTAGACATGGCTCACAAGGAGCCAAGCACTCCCCCTCTCCTACATGAGTTCCGACCCTCCTCACCTAGACTTTGGCCTTTCCAGAGCAAGTATGTACTACCCCTTTTCAAGGAGAGAGAGACTGAGAGAGAGAGAGAGAGAGAGAGAGAGAGAGAGAGAGAGAGAGAAAGTGTGTGTGTGTGTGTGTGTGTGTGTGTGTGTGTGTGTGTGTGTATGTGTGTGTGTCCCTGCTCCAGGACATCCTTTATGCCTTGGGATACTTGCTGGGTCAGAGCTACCTTCAGAAAATGGGCTGTCATCCTCCATTCTCTTTTGGGTGTCACTGTAGCAGCAGAACCTGCCAGGGGAAACAGAAGAAAGTTCATTCAAATGACTTGGCCTTACACATAAGCTCCGGAGTAAAATATGGGACCCTGACCTGTTTGCTCTCTGCTCTTTGACTGCATTAGGCAGGTTGTTCCTTCCCCCTCCATCCATGTACCTCCCAAACACTACCCAGAGAGTCTCTTGGGACCAGGTGGCTCTGGGATCAGCAAAGTTCTTGTATTCTCCCAGCTCCAGAAGCCTTCTGCCCACTCTGACCTGACAGACAAGCTGACCCTTCCTCATGTCATATTGTCTCTCTCCCTCCCTAACTCTCTCCTCCCTCTCCATTTCTACCCATGCAACAGAAAGCACCTTCAGTCGGCGAGTAGAAGGCAAAGCACAGAACCACTTTGAAGAGACCAATAGCAGCTCACAGAATTCCAGCGGTGAGTGTGCCTGTGATGTGACATCACGCATGACCTCCTCCCTCAGAAGGGCAGGTACCTCTGACTGGGGTCTTCTGGTACATGATGGGAAGGGAGCTGAGTAGTGATATCAAAAGACATCAGAGCCTTGAAGAGCAGAAGGGGCCTTTGTATCTGTAGATGTCCTTCTGTGGCTGCACTTTGACCCTTTGTCCCTTGCCCTTGGAGAGAGGAATTTCCTTATCCCAAATTCAGGCATCAGTTTAACCAACCCAGATGGGTAGCCCTAAGAGAGCCAATTGCTAAGTTAAAAAGTAATGCTGTAGCAGGTTTCTTTTCAGGAGATGCAAACGGGGTGCAGTAGAAAGATTGTTTACAGAAGCCAGAGGTCTCAGGTTCTGGATGCACACTGGACCTGGAGCTGCAGAACAGATGCTCTGCTGGTCCCTGCAGTGCTGTGGCTCTGCATGAGTGCTCCTGATAGTGTATGCTGCCACCTGGTGGCTGCCTTGTTCTGAATCCTAGTGGCACCATGGGGCCTGCAGGACTTCTTGGCAGGATTGTGGATGGTCACCAGTAGTCTCTGTCTGAAAAAAAGGGACAGCAAGCTGGTATGCACAGAGATGGCCAGGATGGGATGGGTAGGTCTCCTGCCATTGTAAAGTTGACTTCAGTGAATACTAGGCCTGGGTGAATTCCCCCATGCTGACACTGCCTGGTATAAACAGGTAATAGGTTGCATCTTGGCCACCACAGGCTTCAGCAAGTGGTTCCCAGCACACACACCAGGTGGAGGCTTCTGCCTGGTAATAGACGCAACCTCTCTAGAGCCCAGGTTTGAACTTAGCTCCACTGCCTGCCCTCAGCGCCCTAGATGAGCCCTAATCCCCCTTTGGCTGTAAGTGCTTGAGGAGCACAAACAGCCCCAAAGAACACGGGCAGGAGAAGAGAGTGTGTTGCCTTTAGGTTTGTTTGCCTTGTTTTGCTTTGGTGTGAACCAAGCAATCAGCACAATTACCAATGCAGGGGTGCCACGTGACCCTTAGAACCCTTCTAAGGGGTTAATCTCGGAGAGATGTCATGACCCATCCAAGGCCACAGAGGATCGAGCGGCAGCCTGAAACTAGAACCAAGTTCTCTTGACATGGCTTGGGCTCCCAGCCACTCCGTGTTGTACCCTTCGCAGCTCTCTTGCCACCAAGGCTAATATTTGTTTGGGAACGACGTTGTCATGGGCTACTGCTGCTGGTAGCCACTGTTTATTGAGTGCTTACAACATGGCTGGCATGTGTTCAGAGCTTTGTGTGTTGTATCTGTTTCCAACCGTACCACCATCCTGTGGAGGTAGCGTTCCTTTTAGTCCCACTTTCTGGATGAGGAAACTGAGGCTCAGGATAAGATCATTGTAGCCGCAGATCCCCCAGACTATAGGTAAAGCCAGAACCCTCATACTCTGCCTGCACTTCACTTTGCTGCCTGCTACAATAGAGGCTTGCTGACCTCACCCTCTGGCAATGCCAGGCAGTGTGGGGGACTGAAGCAAACAAGCTTCCAGAGCCACTCCTGTACTTTGGTACCAAGCACACCCATCCTAGTGTCAGAACCTGGAAACAGCTTCCAACATCCAGTCACCAAGTGCGTGGGACTTAAAGGTACCATACCTGAGTCCCACACCCTCACTGTCAGAGCATCCTGGAGGAATGGCCTTCCCAACACATGATACCTGCCTTCTCTGTTGAGGGCAGCCTCTCTGCCAGTTTTCTCTCACCTACCTTCCCACACAGATGTGTGCCCACTGAGAACACCCCCTGGCTCAGCAAATGTAATGACCTCACAGCTCCAGGAGTGAAAAAAACAAACTTAGCTAAACTGAAACTATTTTTCTTTTGCAGAAACTGCAAGTCCCCTGAATTCCAATCCCTTCCCTCTCCTGCAGAGTAAGTGTTGGTCCCACTTAGGGGCTGAAGAGGGCAAGGCAGGGCAGGGAATGACCACTGCTGTTCTCACTGAGATGTAGACAGGCCTTGGGCTGCCCTCCAGAGATCACCCAGCAACAATAGCCTAGGGAAGCTGCAGAGGGCCCAGAAGGGTGGAAAGGTGTGGACAGGTAGACAGAACTCTGAGCACACAGGAAGGAGACGACAAGGTTACCAGCTCTGGGCTACCCATTCAGCCTCGGGACTCCTCTTCCAAGCCACCTCCCTCTCTCTTCCCTCCACTTCTACCTAATAGTGTTTTGTTTCCTCCCTCCTCTCTCTTTGCCAGGTACCCGTTCAAGTCCTGGATACACAGAGCTGGTGGTGCAGGTGCAGCCTGTCCCCCTCAGCCCACCCTCCTGTCCCTCTCAAATCATACCCGCTGCTGCACTTGGCTCCATCTCCTCTTTCTCTCATTTCTCTCTTCACCTCCCATTGCGAGTTTCCTTGTTCATTTGTTCCCTCTATGAGCAGGGACCCCTGTGTGGTCCCACCGGCAGAGGGCTAAGCTGTGGACACCAAGGGACACAGTGTGTTAACTGAGAGCTCTGGTGCCTGGATGTGGTCCTTCCCGTGCACTCGGAATAGTGCCTGGCACTCAGTGAAGAGCAGGCCCGTTAACTGAGCAACCTGTATCTATGTGTCTTCCCTTCTCTGTGCTTCTGCTTCTCTCCCCAGTCTTTCCTTCTCCAGGCTATTGACAGGCCAATGGACAGGCTGGGCCCAGGGCCCCAAGTATACATCTGGATCCCCACCTTCAAAGCTGCCTGCAGCCCAGCGTTAGGGTACCTGGGTATCAGCCACCTGTCACATGTCACTTGTTTTCCCCAGAACCCTACACATGCGGCGCCTGTGGCATCCAGTTTCAGTTCTACAGCAACCTGCTGGAGCACATGCAGTCCCATGCAGGTAAGGCCAAGAGGGACCCCAAACACATGGAAGCCACCAGCAGAGCCTTCCCAGAGCATGGAAATCAGGGGGCTTGCAATTTCTGCAAAAGAGAAACAGTTTCAGTTTAGCTAAGTTTGTTTTTTCACTCCTGGGCACCCACCCTCTCAGCACCAGCCAAGGAGTCCTAAGCTCAGGTTCAGGATGGGTTGGGGGTGGGGCTGGAAGAAGGGCTTACCAGAGGGTTGCAAGCCAGGAAAGGAGATCTAGAAGTGGTTCAAGGTCAGATTGGACAGGGGCCAGCAGCGAGGTAGACTGACAGGCAGTTCCGTGCACTGACTGACTTTTGCCTCTTCAATGCCCTGGTGCTCAAACTGGAACTCTTGAAGGAATTATCTGGGATGATGATGAGACCGTCTACAGGCAGCTGGGCCTAAGACACACTGGACTGCTCCACTTCACAGGCCCACCACATTCCACTCCCTGGCCTTCATAGGCTTGTAGCTATATCCTAATGCAGAAATGGCATTTAATCCAACCTCAAAAGTCCCCATACTCTCTCACAATCTCAACACTGTGAAAGTCCAAAGTTCAAAGTCCCTTTGAAGATGTATGACATTCTCTTAACTGTAATCCCCTGTAAAAGCAAAATTGAAAAGCAAATCCCATGCTTCCAACATACAATGGCACAAAACACATATTACCATTCCAAAAGGGAGGAAGAGAGCATAGCCAGGAAATACTGGACCCAAAGTAAGACTAAAAATCAGCTGAGCAAACTCCATATTCCTCTTCATCACATCTGATGTCAAAGTGCTCTTCAGATCTCCAAGTCCTTCCAGCTTTGTTGACTTCAGCACACTCCCCTTTCTCTGGCCTGTAGCTCTCCTTGGCAGGAATCTCATGGCTCGGGCATCTCCAACACAATCTAGTCACAGTTTCACACAATGGCCTCTGTGGGCCTCCATTCAGAGACATCCCTGGCACATGCCAGGCCTCAACAGAATTCCTTAGCCACCAGGAAAGGTTTTTAGGGAGATACCACAATCCCTTTCTTCCGTCCTTAGCTGTAAAGCCAGAACCGTGTGGCCAAAGCTGCCAGGTTCTGCACATGCTGGGGCTAGAGCATGGCACCTTGTTCAATTACATCTGCTTTAGCTTTCTGTTGCTGATGGTTGCCTTCACTGCTTAATCTTTGCTTTAATTCCTTTTCACAGGTTGGAAGCTTAGCTGGGTGGGGCCTTGCCCTGAGGTCACCACTCCCTTTATTCCATTTAGCTTCAAGCTTTTCTTTAATTATTTTGTCCTTGAGCGGACTTCGGGCTATTACATTTCCTGGTGCTCCTTTTCTCCTCAAACTGTATGATTTGTATGTTTCCTTGCTCAGCCTGCTGCTTTTCATAATAGATCTGGGTAAGACCAGCCACTGATAAACACAGGGCACAGTCAGTTTACACTCAAGCAGATATTTTCAAACAAGAACACAAAGTCACCACATTCTTTGCCAGAATATCACAAAAATGATCTCTAGGCTATTTACTACTATTCTTCCCTTCTGAAACTTCTTGAATTGGGTCCTAGAGTCCATACCACCCTCAGTATTGTCTTCCATGCTCCTACTAATATGACCCATTAAGACCCACTCAGAGCCTTCAATTGATTTCCTAATCCAGAGTCCCAAAGTCAACATTCCATCCACAAGCAATATGGCCAGGCCTGTCATAACAATACCCCAATCCCTGGTACCATCTTCTGTCTTAGCTTCTATCGTGGTGAAGAGACACCATGACCAAGGCAAATCTTAGAAAACATTTAGTTGAGGCCTTGCTTAGAGTGTCAGAGGTTTAGTCCATACCATCATGGCAGGGAGCATGGTGGCACACAGGCAGACATGGCACTGGTGAACTAGCAGAGAGTTTTGTCTACATCCAGATCCACAGGCAGCAGGAGGAGTCGCTAGGCCTGAGTTTGGCTTTTGAAAACTCAAAGCCCACCCCCCAGCAATGACTCACTTTGTCCCACAAGGCCACAGCTATGCCGACAAAGGTCACACCTCCTAATCTGTCTCAGGTACTGTCACTCCCTGATGACCAAACATTCAATATATAAGCCTGTGGGTGCCATTCTTGTTGAAGCCACCACACAGAATTAGACTCCATCTTCCCCTAGATGATGTGATGTTATTCCAGCCTCCATTCACTCTCATTCACTCTCTTCATGGTGTGTGCTGTACTTGAGGCCTTGGGGGCCTCCATGCACTTATAAATCACTCTACGTACACAATGGAGCTGTGAGTGGTGATCAGGATTCTGGGTTTCTGGTTCTGCTCCCTGGCTGCTGAGAGACCTCAGACTCCTGTTGTCTGGTGTTTCCCATCTCACAGTGACTCCATGATCATCCAGGAATGGTTCAAATCCTGTAGACATGCCCTCAAGGCCAACTTACAGCCCTGGAGTGGTGGTAGCCTGGTTCCTGACCTCACAGCCCAGCCTCCCGCAGTTAATTCATATTCATGCCCCCTTCCATCTGTCTCTCTTAGTCTGTCTCTCTGTCTCTGTCTTTCTCTCTTTCCCTCCTGGGCTTCCCCTGTTTCTAACAATTAGGCATGAGCCTGAATGTGGGTGCTTCCCCATCTCTCTGGCAGCTGGAAAGCAAAACCATTATGATGCAACTCTGGCTGAGCCAAGATGTGGTCTCACTATTCCCCAGCATCTTGGCTTGTTCAGAGTTGCTGAAGGGCTGCTTCGTGCTGGTCCAGCGTGGCCAGAGAATGCCTGCCTCCACCCCAATCCAGTGCAAAGCCAGGCGGAATCCCAGCCAGGATGAATCAGGATTAAAGGATTGGCTTCATGGAGGGAAATTAAGCGTTGTGAGCTGTGCAGTTCACAGCACCGCTGATAAGGGGGATCAGCCTCAAGTAGCGCCAATCTCATTAAGAGCTGCTGAATGGCACAGTCTAATTCACGCTAGTAAACGTGTGTGCTAGAAGGAACCTGTCTACCCTGGTGACTGTTCAGGAATAGAACTAGCAGTCATGATGCTAACTATAGTAAATGGTAGCTTGCCGTGTGTCGGGGTATGTGTGTGTTGACTGTGGTACATGAAAGTCTACAAGTTTGACATTTCCATCCCCTTTATAAAGGTCCAGAAAACACAGTCGCTGGCATAGTCCATTAGAACTAACTGGCATCATTTCAGCAGGTCCTTGCTGCCAGGGCTTGGTCTGAGAGTTTTAGACATGTTCACCACTGAATTCTCAGAGTGGCCCTCTAAATGCCATATTAACACCATTTCACAGAAAAAAAAGGACACTGAAGAGCTGGGGAAATGGCTGTCCTACAGTGTTTAAGAAGGAAAATCACCTGAGTTTGATTTCCCCCAAACCCACACAGTACAGCCAGGCATGGCAAAGCACACTTGTAATCCTAGCCTAGGGAGGCAAAAATGGGTAACTGGTGAATGGACCCTTGGGGCTTCCTGGCCAGCCAGCCTGGCCTATCTAGTAAGGTACATGCCAGTGATAGACCCTGTCTCAAAAGAAAAGATAAGGTAGGCAGCAAGTGGCCCCTGGGGAATGGCAGGCAAGTTTATCCTTCAGCCTTCACACAGACTGGCACACTTGCCTGCACCTACACATGTGTATACATACACCAAGAGAATTGAATCTGAGGCAAAAGTGGTTAAATCCAGTTGCCAAGGTTATAAAAACCAGTATTCTCTCCCGGGGGTGTGATCCTTCCAGAACCCATGGGCTTTCACGTCCACACTGAAGTTGTGGTCTGCCCTGGTGGGGTCAGTGGCCCTGACCCCTCAGAACTCAGCCTTTACAGACCTTCCCAGGAGGGGTGGAGAACACAGCTAGAAGGCACCAGGAGACTCCAGGGAATAAATGAAGTCTGTGCTTGAGATTGAGTGGGTGGACACCTCTGATTTCTGATGCCTTGAACCACTTCATGGTTCAGGACTTCCTCATCCCCACTGTGAGAGTTTATCAAGCCTTTCCTCCCAGGGATGAGGGTTGCGGGGGGTGATGTAGTCACAGACTATGGCACATTTTAAGACCCAGCCTGACAGGTACCTATTACTCCATTGCCTGTTGAAGGTACAGACTGAGTATCCCTCTCCTGAAATGCCTGGAAGCAGAAGGATGTCAGACTTCACAAACTTCAACGTCAGGGATACTTGAAAAAAAAAAAAAAAAAAATATATATATATATATATATATATATATATATATGGAATGCATTCTTATTCCCTATCCTCTCTCAACTTCTTTCACTCCAGTACACTCACTCCCCATTGCCCCCCCCCCGCAAAAAAAAAGCACTTCGTCACATTCCCATCTGTTGTTTTGTGACTCACTGAATTTAACTATAGCTACATGTGTGACCATGAGTTTAGAACTCTCCAATGGGCCATGGAGCTTAGCGGTGGGTACACATCTGAAGATGATTGCTCCTACAGCTCCCAGAGTCTATTACAGCCAATAGCAATAGCAATAAGGAGTAGAGTTCCATAGCCCTTCCCACATCCGTGGCTGATGGTTGACAGGGCCAGTCTTATGCAGGTTCAACGCACCAATGCAGATAACACAGCTGCTGTGAATTCCTGATTGCAGTGGTTGTGTCGTGCCTACATGACATTTTGCAGTCCTGACCCTCAGTGTTCCCTGAGCCTTAAGAGGAGGAGTATACATTCTTTGTTTTTAGGGTTGGGCACTCAGACATCACTTACTCTCAGTACCTTGGGCAACGACAAGTCTCTGCATTCATGCATTCACCTCCATTCACTGAGAAGAGAGGCTTCTTTAACTAAGGCTAAGAGTAGCTTTTTATTTGTGTAAAAGGGATGCTTAGTCATTTTAGTTAAACAACAGTACTAAGTACCATCCCCTTGGGCCTATGACTTCCCCAAGTATAGATTGTTGATCTGACTTAGAATACTAAGTATGGATTCCTTCCTGTGGAGTGGGGCTCAAATTGAATCAGAGGGTGGTTAGTTGATTATATAACAGCTGTGCCATTAGTGCATAGGTGGGCATATCTTGCCTATTTAGTATTGGAAAGGTTCATAGCCAGGTAAGTCCTTTGATGCCTTTTTCTCTCCTACTTGGCTACCTGCATCACAACTTCTGGCTCTTTGGAAGTTAGCCAGGAGGGCTAACAAGTTCCAGCTTGTTCTCTATTTTATAACTCATGTGTGCAGAGTCTTCAGCCACAGGTTCTTACCTGGTTGTTTTGATTGGTATCCAAGAGGACTGATAAGAGCTTGAGTTTTCAGAAATCTGACCAACTCTTTGAGCGGTACCCAACACCTGGCACCTGGAATTTTGTGTGGTGACTCATTGCTTCTAGAAGCATTATCAAGCAAGCCATGATGGGTGTCTGTCTTTAACCTCACTTTTATATTATTAAATTGGGTTACAAAATAGTAAATTTTCATAGGGATTTTTTTTATATAGCCTTTGTTTTGGCTAACCTTCACCTACCCTCTCTCCTGTTCCCCCCACTCCCCCACCCCACTTAAACATTTCTACCCCTAGTGTTGCCCCTCTCTGCTTTCCTTACCTATGTCCTAGCCTCCCATTCTTTTTCCAAGACAAGGTTTCTCTGTGTGTAACCTTGGCTCTCCTGTAAGTATCTCTATAAACCATGCTGGCCTTGAACTCACAGAGATCTGCCTGCCTCTGCCTCCCAAATGCTGGGATTAAAGGCATGCGCCACCATCACCTCCCCCCCCGCCATCCTTTAAGGCACTCCCACATTCCAATTTCCTCTTTCTAGTCTCCAGGCTTCCGTGTTAAAGCTACAGAGTGGAAGCTGGAATTGGCATTTGAAAGAGCCTGTGTAGCATTTCTCCTGGTCTGGGTTATTTCATTCAGTAGAATTTTTTTTTTCCCAGTTCAGTCATTTACCTGAAAACATCATAATTTAATTATTTTATAGCTGGATGAAATCCCATTGTGTATGTGCACATTTTCATTATCCATTCATCAGCTGATGGACATCAGCTGCTTCCATTTCCTTGCAGTTTTGCAGATATCTCTGTAATGTGATACAAGCTGGATCATCTTGTAGTTTGATTTCTAGTTTTTTTGTTGTTGTTGTTGTTGTTTGTTTGTTTGTTCGTTTGTTTGCTCGTTTGAGAAACCAGATTTCCAAAGGGTCTCCTCTAGTTTACAGCAAAACTGGATCCAAATCTCTCGTCTTGCACAAAACTCAACTCAGCAACCTCAAACCTCAACTTAAGAACTGATACCTTGAAACTGCCAGAGAAGGAAGTAGGGAGTACACTTCAATAGTTAGAGGCTTTCTGAGTAGGACTCACAGAAGCACAGGGAATACGACTAACTGTGGATAAATGGAATCTCCTGAAACTAAAAAGCTTCTGTACAGCAAAGGAATCTATCATAAAAGAGGCAGCCTATAAAATGGAAGAAGAACATTGCATCTCTATATTGGGCTGAGGATTAGTGTTCAAAAAATGAACATGAAGGAAACAACCAATTAAAAGAGGGATTGTGGTGTTAAGCAGAGTTCTCAGAAGAAATACAGATGGCTAATATAACCTTTTGAAAATATATAACATCCTTGGTGCTCAGGGAAATGCAGATTAAAGCTACTTTAAGATTTCATATCATGGGCTGGGGAGCTGGCTTGGTGATTTAAAGCACTGGCTGCTCTTACAGAGGACCCAGGTTCAATTCCTGGCTTCCACATGACAGCTCATGCCATCTGTAACTCCAGTCTGAGGAGATGCAACACCCTCTCCTTTCTTCACAGATTACCAGGCATGCATGTGGTGCACAGACATGAATGCAGACAAAACATACATACACATAAAGTATTTTAATGTTGAATTAAAAGATTCCATCTCCAGTAAGAATGGCTATCATCAAGAATACAAATGATAATAATAGTCTTGTAAAATGAATTGTGGGATAGTTTTACTATCCATGTTTTACAGAGTAATTTGTGTCGAATTTATATTATTACTTGCTTAAGGTTTTTTTTTTTTTTTTTTTTTAAATAAAATATACCAGTGAACCTGTAAGGATCTGGAAGTTTCTTTATGGGAAATTACTTAACTATGAGCTGTTTCTTTAATGGACACAGGTTTTCAAGTTACAGGTTTCTTCTAGGATGAACTTTGTTTCGTTGTGGCTTTGAGTATTTGTCTTGCCTAACTTGTTGAATTCATTGGCATTTTAATTCTTTTGCTATCTGTGGGCTCTGTAGTGATGGCACCTTTTCATTCTTGATCCTAATGATTTGTATCTTCTTATCAAGTGTGTTGATCTTTACAGAGAATTGGCTTTTGTTGTCATTGGTTTTGCTCTTTTATGTTTATCCATTTTCTATGTCATTCATTTATGCTTCCGCTGGATTATTTCCTTGCTTTTGCCTCATTACTTATTATTAGACCTCTTTTTTAAAATACTTATTTATGTTTTATGTGTATGTGTGTGGGTGAATGTCATATGTGTGTGAGGTGCCTGTGGAGGAGAAAAGAGACCATTAGATTCCCTCGGAGCTGTATGGGACTGTGGAACATGCTCGAGCCTTCTGGGAGATCAGTGTTTATGCTTAACCCCCAAGCCATCTCTCCAGCCTATATATAGATTTCCTGTTGTCTGCTCAGTCCATGTATGTTCTTCCCCCCACCACCACCTTTATTCTTAGTAACAGTTGCTAAGAGAAATAAGTCAGAGCTCTAGTAGTAGTTTGTCCATTTGAGTCAATCCAGTTTTCATTTTTGAACTTAAAGCTGAATGTGTTTTTAGACTCGTACATTCTAGGTAAATTGGCCACTTTGTCATCGTACAGATTCTCTTGTTACCCCTGGCAACCTTTGTCCTGATCTGATTATCTGGTATTATAATGTGTCACCCGTATTCAGCTTTCCTTTTATCACCTGGCATATCTTTATTTGACCTTTTACATTTCAGTGATCTCTAGCTCTACATTTTAATAGATGTCTTATACAGGACATGTTGTTGAGTTTTAATAATTAAGAGTATACATCTTTTCTTTATAATTTTGAGACGTTTGTATTTAATGTAAATTTGATGTTTTGTATAAATTTACCAGCCTTCTATTTGTGCGCTGTTCATCTCCTATGTTCTTTGCTTCTCTCTCTCCTCCCCAATCCGCCTTGTCCCTCCCCTATCCCTCACATTATTTACTGTGGGAGGGGAGATGCATGTACACATGGAGATCAGAGGACAGCCTGCAGGAATCGGTCCTCTCATCACATCATGTGGGTTCTAGGTATGGAACTCAGTCTGCACAATCTAGACAGCAAGCACTTTCACCAGCTGTGCCATCTTGCTGGCCTCACATACATTTTCAATATATTAATTCCACTTCAGTTAGTTGGTTTTGATGTTTGTTGCTTAATTCTGGTGAAATATATATATATATATATGTATATATATATATATACACACACACACACACACACACACACACATACATTTTGCTCACGATCCTGAATGTATTTATGATGTTTATAACTGCTATTCTTGAGGCCTGATTGGCTAATTCTAGCCTTTGTATTATGCTAGCTTCTTTTGATTGCTTTCCTATAGGCTGTATTTTTCTGTATTGGGTACTTAGAACCTGACAGAATATGAATGCTGGATCCACTGTGCTTCTCGGGAGAGTGTTGATCTTTGTCTGCAATCTGTCTTCCTGGGGTTCTCCTTTATACTTTTTTAAAATTTATTTTTTTAAAAAATTGTTTGTATAGGTATGTGTCTGCAAGTGAATATGCCATGTTAATTCAGGTGCCCACAGAGGTGAGAAGACAGTGTCGGATCCCCACGAACTGGAGTTACAGGCAGTTGTGAGCTGCCTGACTGAGTACTGGGAACCAAACTTGGATTCTCTAGAAGAACAAGCACTCTTAACCACTGCACCATCTCTCTGACCCTACTGTTATACTTTTGAAGTTCACTCTTAGGATGTGAGAGCAGGGATGGGGCAGCCTTTAGTCTGTGGAAGATTTGGTTTCGGAGGCCTGGATTCTGCCTGGGTCCTCACGCATTGAAATGTGTTTGTAACCATCCTGCTGCCACTCTGTGTGACCTTGAGCAAACCTGTTTTAAATCTGGGCCTCAGTTTCCACACCCAGTAAAGGGTTTGGTACTTCTGTGCTTTTTATCATGTTAGGTAGGGATTGGGTCCTCATTTAATACAATTAAATGCAACTATTTATCTAATACAGTAGTCATACACTGGGAATACAAAAATCTCATGCTTTAAAGACGTGAGAGATTGTGAGACACTTTGGAGCACTTAGAGTATGCACTCCCTTCGGAGCTTTGCTTTGTGGCTGTGGTGGGTTTAGGCTACCCAGAAAGCTCATGTTCTCTCTAAGAGTCCTCTGCATCCTAGCCTCTTCCCTGTCATCTCCATAGTCCTTCCTGAAGTTGTATGGTAGCCATACCTTTGTCCTCAGCTTCCAGAGTGTGCAGACGGGGCTTTGAAAGCGTAGATAGTTTCTGAGAGGCCGGAACTCAACTCCCTGTGGCCATGTGTTGTTATCCCTGCCCCCCCCCCCATACACAAGTTTGTATCTTACACTTCAGCTTCCTCTTACTCTTCAGAGTGACCCATTATTCCTGTTGTGCCTGCAGCTGACAATGAGAACAACATCACCTCCAACCAGTCCCGGTCTCCACCTGCTGCAGTAGAAGAAAAGTGGAAACCTCAGGCCCAGAGGAACAGTTCCAACAACAGTAGGTCTCAGCATGCTGGTGCCTAGGGCTCCTGGAATTACCTCATCCCCGCTACAGCTGTGTCCTGTCCCCCATTGTTACCATCTGTACCTCCTATGGGACAGAAGATGATATGATATATGATATATACAGCTCCAAAGCATACTTGTGCTTGGACTCGGGCAGGAATCTTAACTTGTGGATAGGCAAAAGGAGGCCAGGAAGAAGGGGGGGTGCATGTGTGTTTCCAAAGCACTACTTACCGCCAGAATCACAACTAGAACCCCACATTTTCACAATTCTCATAAGCTCTTTTCTTGACACTGGCCATAAGGCATGTTACTCATTAGAGATTACTATGTAATTCCTGTTGAGGAAAAGGTTGTATTCAAAGGGTTAGGTGTTTGGCGCATGTGGCAAGTATGTTGTACACATACCACTATATACGATTGTCATGCCCACAGCAGGCATTATTAATCAATCATAGAATCTTATCCATATGGTACTGTCAGCTGTTAAAAGCAGACCACACCTATTTGTATGAAAGACAAAATCTATTTGTTATTCTTCATACTAGCCAGGTTAAGCATCTATGAATGTCAAAATTGATCCTTTCTCTCTTTGTGTCCCCCGCCAGCCACAACTAGTGGTTTGACACCCAACAGTGTAATACCTGAGAAGGAGCGGCAGAACATTGCAGAACGGCTACTACGGGTCATGTGTGCTGACCTGGGTGCACTGAGCGTGGTCAGTGGGAAGGAGTTCCTCAAGTTGGCACAAACCCTGGTAGACAGTGGCGCCCGCTATGGGGCCTTCTCAGTCACTGAGATCCTGGGCAACTTTAACACACTAGCACTGAAGCACCTGCCACGCATGTACAACCAGGTGAAGGTAAAGGTGACGTGTGCCCTGGGCAGCAATGCCTGCCTGGGCATCGGTGTCACATGCCACTCCCAGAGTGTGGGCCCTGACTCCTGCTACATCCTCACGGCCTACCAGGCTGAGGGCAACCACATCAAGAGTTATGTGCTAGGTGTAAAGGGCGCAGACATCCGTGACAGTGGTGACTTGGTGCATCACTGGGTGCAGAACGTGCTGTCAGAGTTTGTGATGTCAGAGATCCGGACCGTATATGTAACGGACTGCCGGGTGAGCACATCAGCCTTCTCCAAGGCTGGCATGTGCCTTCGCTGCTCAGCCTGTGCCTTGAACTCAGTGGTGCAGAGTGTGCTGAGCAAGAGGACACTGCAGGCCCGCAGCATGCATGAGGTCATCGAGCTGCTCAATGTGTGTGAGGACCTAGCAGGCTCTACGGGCCTGGCCAAGGAAACCTTTGGCTCTCTGGAGGAGACATCACCCCCACCCTGCTGGAACTCAGTGACAGACTCGCTGCTCCTGGTGCATGAGCGCTATGAGCAGATCTGTGAGTTCTACAGCCGTGCCAAGAAAATGAACCTCATTCAGAGCCTCAACAAGCACTTGTTGAGTAACCTGGCCGCCATCCTGACACCTGTGAAGCAGGCGGTCATTGAACTCAGCAATGAGAGCCAGCCCACCCTGCAGCTGGTGCTGCCCACCTACGTCCGGCTAGAGAAGCTGTTCACAGCCAAAGCCAATGACGCAGGCACTGTCAGCAAACTGTGCCATCTCTTTCTAGAAGCACTCAAGGAGAACTTCAAGGTGCACCCAGCCCACAAGGTGGCCATGATCCTGGATCCTCAGCAGAAACTTCGGCCAGTGCCACCCTACCAGCACGAGGAGATCATCAGCAAGGTGTGTGAGCTCATCAACGAGGTGAAGGAGTCCTGGGCTGAAGAGGCCGACTTTGAGCCTGCCGCCAAGAAGGCACGCTCAGCCACTGGCGAGCACCCCGCTGCAGCTCAGGAGGATGACCGGCTGGGCAAGAACGAAGTATATGACTACCTTCAGGAACCCCTCTTCCAGGCTACTCCCGATCTCTTTCAGTACTGGTCATGCGTGACCCAAAAGCACACGAAACTTGCCAAGCTCGCCTTCTGGCTCCTGGCTGTTCCTGCTGTGGGGGCTCGAAGCGGGTGTGTAAATATGTGTGAACAAGCACTTCTGATCAAGAGGAGGCGACTGCTTAGTCCAGAAGACATGAACAAGCTCATGTTTTTGAAATCCAACATGCTTTAAGACTCAACTTTGGGGAAAACAAACAAAAAAGATGAAAAGAAGAAAGATGTTAGGGAAACACACACGCAACACTGTCACAAAGAAGTTTAAGTTCTAAACACTGTGGAACCTCATTGTAAATGCCCCCCTGGAAACTCAAGTGCTTTTTTTTCAGTGTGTGTGAGTGAGTGTGTGTGTGTGTGTGTGTGTGTGTGTGTGTGTGTGCACATGTGTCCACACCGACACATGTGCATTGCATGGGTAAAGAGTGTGGGGAGCTCATGCTTGAATGCACAGCCAGAGAAGCTCCACAAGTGTGCATGTGCTCACACGCACACACGCGCACGCACACATACACACACACAAACCTGGTGCAAGTATACATGCCTGTCCTCAGGCGTGTGTGCATTGAACTGGGTGTATCAGGAAAGCTGAGAGACTGGGAAAGCAGGATGGTTTCACTTTCCTTGGGCAGGGGCTCTAAGGACTCCGTTTTCAGGTGTGCAGAGTGAGAGAAGCTGAGATTGTGAAATATTCAGGCAGCTGAGGGCTGAAGTGGTTTGATCTCCCATCCCCAACCCCAACCCTTCCTTTCCATTCCTCCATCCCTTCAACCCATGGTACCCATCCTCCGCCCCAGCTGCTCTGACAGGTTCTCCAAACTGCATCAGATGGACAGTTTCTGCACTGGACTTTATTTCTTGTTTCACCTTCAGGGCATTAAGCTGCTGTACCTGTGACCTCCCCCTTGGATGTCTGGGGCAGCTGCCTTAGAATACACACTATCTATCTCCCCAGATCAGGAAAGGAGACTTTAAAAATATAAAGCTGATGTTTTACTTTTTAATATAAAAGAGAGAGAGAGAGAGAAAAAAAAAGACATCTTTTTCCAGAGATGTATAGCTGACTCTACACTCAAGGTTTCTTTGGTTTTGTTTGTTTGTCTGTTGTTTGTTCCTCCAATGCTTTAGCAACTTTTTATCTTTTGGGGGATTCAGTTTCTTTTCACATGTGGTTTAGTCTCTGCTGGGAGGCACTGAATGTCATAACTTATGTTCTGGAGTTTTGTTTCGTTTGTTTTACTTGCCCCTTTTTGTTCTCAAGTCACACTGTAAACTAGCTCATCTCAGTGGTGGTGTTCAGGACAAAGATCAAGGATATGTCTGTGTGTCTGGAGTAGGGAGTTGAGAGGAGTCATGGTTCCTTGGCTGTGGGGTTTGGTGGAAACCATGGTGGGCGGCATGTGGCTTTAGGCGTCCTGAATGTCAGTGAGAGCCGCTGCCTGGTCCCTGCCTGTGGTAGTGTGAATGCCCACCTCTTGAATGTTTGCCTCCTGTACTCAGCATCCTTCGTACAGCTTCACACACCCTGATCCCCAGCTCTGCAGGGACTGTGACTTACTCCAACCGGTGTCTGCCAGACCCACAGTCTCCCTCCCTTCCCAGATCTGGGGTTCTGGGAGTTTATAGCCCTCAGAGGTCCCACAGGCATCTCAAACCTGCAGTCAGGGCAGTGGTGGGGCAGTTGCTGGTTCAACAGTTGTCATCTTGTGATCTTGTAGATAGCTGTGCTTGACTCAATTCTGTGAAAGGGGTTGTTAGCCCTTGCTTCTGATCCCCAAGGCCAGGAGCCCATGCTTCTCCACACAGTCCAGATGCCAAGAGGAGACACCATTCTCTTCATGGGATGATGAGCATAACCACCCCAGAAATAAAGACCTTGGTGTCCCTGACCCTCCAGTGGCTACAACTGTGGGACGAGGATGCATATATGTCAGGCTAAGAATAGCCACCTCTGTGGGGCTCTTTGCAAAAGCACCTCTACCACTTGGGACTTGAACTGGCCCCTCTTCCCAGTCATAAAGCATTACTCAACTGAAAGATACCTCGACTTCAGAAGCACTGTACCCATAGCCCCATCCCCCAGGTCCCTGGCAAGGAGGGGAGTGAAGATGGTTTGTAGACTCAAAGGGTTCCAGTTGTGTTCTGGGTCCCAGAACACTGTCCTGGAGGACAAAGCCTGCACTCTCTGCCTCACAAGACTAACCGAGCTCTCCCACAGTCTCAGATGTACAAATAGATCAGAGAAGGTTGTGTCCACATTCACTCTGGCAAGTTACGTTCTCAGGAACCACCATACAATCTCTACTCCGGGGCAAGTTCTAGGCATTTTTATCACAATGGCTTCAATTTGGGTCCAACCATCAGAGGAACTTCTGTCCACAGAGAAATCCAGAGTAGAGCTGAATGTCACCCCCTGAAGAATGCAGGAATGTCTTCAGACTGCTCGGGGCATTCCAAGAGGTGGACTCTAGATAACTAATGATGGATACCTCCAGTCTCTCTCAGCTGTTGGGAAAGGGGCCACAACATGGCACTTGTAGCCACACTGGAAGCTGGGTGATTACTAGTGCAGTCAGTGAGAATAGACCTCAGGCAGAGCTGAGCTGAGCTGCTGTTACTGGCTATTCATCGGCCATGCCCAGAGGTGCATTTCAGGCATTCTTTTCAGAGCGTAGACCATTCGCCCTCCAAAAAGAAAATAAGTGTTAAACTCCAGGCATCTGGCCATAGGTCATCACCTCCTGCCCAGTTCATTGGCACCTTGAATCTATCCTTGGAATTACCCTGCCTCGGTAGGTTCAATGTGAGCCCCTCTTAGTCCTCAGAAACCTGTCTCTCGGACTGCCTCATGCTCAAAGATTATTAGGTGGCAGGCTGTCAATCATTTCTCTCTAGTGTCACCAACCAGAAAGAGCGGGCCCTGTGAGTGTCTGCTGTCATGTGGGCCATCTCACAGTGCATATCCTACAACAAACAGCTCAATAAATCCCAAAGATCTCCCAGGTGCAGCCACAGGCCCCATCAACAGCAATATCCACCTTACCAAATTCTAGTTCATCCAAAGCACTAAGATAGGCTCTTCCAGTTCACCTCCGATGGCCTGGGCTGGCCTTGACCTTCAAAACGATTTTGTCATCTGCCTCGTGATTCTGTGACCACTAAAGGTCTTTACACCACAGGCTTTTGGGGGCTGGGAGACCAGGAAGCTGGGCCATTTCTCTCCTGTTCTCAGCTTACCTCAAGCTGTATGATTCCCTGGCCAAGAATGGTCTTTGCTTTGACATCCGTGAACCCAAACAGGGAGTAGGGAAGATGCACTTCCATTAGCAAGGTTCTCTGTGAATCTGAGGTCACATTGTTTCACCATTGAAGCCCAAACCAAGGCCTGTGGCTTGTTTGCCTGGGACTCAACACTCAAAACGTCTCAGGTGTGTGAAGAATGGTTGTACATGGAAGTACTTGTTCTCAACATGGCTGTGTTCCCAATACCCAAGTCTACCTGCCAAGCCGCCTTTGCATGGCATTCAGCAGCCAAGAAGCAGGGTTCGTGCTTTCTGAGCACAGCTGTCTGCATTTCATCCCTAGAGGTTGCCTCCACAGGAAGCCACGGTGCGAATGATGTCACCATCCCACCTGATGGCTTCACATTTGGCCAGTGTTATGGGGCTGGCTCTTGGCTGAGGGAAAGGTGCCCATTTCTTGGTGAGAAGGTCAACTGGTGATGATGATGAGAACTCAGCTCCAGGTTTCTGGGAAGGACCTGCCACCAGTTGTGTAGGCTGGCCAGAAGTCTTCATTTCAGTTTGACAAGTTTTATCTCCTGCACTGAAGAAATGGAAGAATTCAACAAGGAGTGTTTTCCACTGTGAAGCTGAATCTGCCTTTGGAGCCCATTTCTGAGCCTCATTTCCTGGCCTCAGGCTACACTGCCCAAGGAGGGGGACACCTGGAGACTCTGGGCACCAATATACTCACTCCGAGGACACAGGGCCACCAAGAAGGATCAAAGCTGGGATGTAGGGGGAAACCATGTGAGATGCTACCCCAGACCTTGTCGTGTCATGCTTAAAGAGGAGCGCACAGGAAACTCCTTACCCCATAAGCTGTTCCAAGTCTCTAGCTTCCTGGCCTTGGCAGTGGTGTGACACTACTGTGTCTGAAATATATCTAGAGGAAGTTGTCTGATGGGCAGAATCAAGGGACTGAGGCTCAGGCTATACCCTGGAGACAGGGCGCAGGAGCTCCTGTCCCCAGGACAGTGGGAGAGCTGGCGAGGAGGTCGCCCCTCCCTTTCACTGTGGCTAATGTTTGCTAGGCCAGTTATGGCGAACCAATGATGCAGTGTTTCCTCTTATGTTCCCCTCCTGTCTGCCCTTTCTTGGGGGTCTCCAGGGAGATTTTATGGCTGTTGTGGTTTTTCTTCCTATCTCACTTGGGTCTGAGGATGGCAGTCTAGAGAGCTCTGATTTTGACCAAGGGTCTCTGAGCAGATATAGGCCTCACATGGAAGAAGGTGGTGCTTTCAAGGTTCCACTCCCATATGGGAAATACACTAGGCTTGGAGTTGACATTAGCATCATGACCCGCCAAGGGCCGATCCACCCAAGCATCCCATTAGGCACCTTGACTCTTTGAACCAAAGTTCCTTAAAGGGCACGGCAAAGCCCAGCCTTGTTCTTAGGAGCCTGAATTTGCAGGCCACCTGGAAGAAGGGCTCTTCCCACAACCCAGGTGTTCCGAGGCTCTCCTAGGAACCTTTTTCCACCCAGCTGGGGTGGGTGGCTTCCCCAGCGGGACTCAAGTTTATGACCTGATGTAGGCTGGGTCTGGCCAGCCAGCAAAGAGCAAGAGCCATGTGACAGGACCTTCCAGACCCTAAACATCAGGAAATCATTTTGTAGAATAACCCGGAGCAGAGATAGTTTTTAAGAGGCATGAATTATTTTTTGTTGTCTCCTGATCCTGTCTTTTTTCTTTTCCCCACAACTTTGTGTGGGTGATCAGTTCACATCAGGTAAATCTTGAGAAAAGCCTTGGTGCCCCAATCCCTCCTGCCCCCCCTACTCAGTGACCACATGTGTACGCCCCCATCCTGTCCCAATAGTAAAGATGTTCTAGGCAATACCATAGACACGTCCGTGTCTCGCTTCGAGTGCAAGAAACTCAAGTCATCTTTAAAAAAAAAAATTAAAAACACAAAAAAATTTACAAAAAAAGCAAACACACACACACAAAAAAAAATATCTTTTTTAGGCCAGAGTTTTCTACAGGTATTAATGAATATTTTTCTTAATCCTTATAAGTTTTATGTGTTTAATATTTCTTAATACCAGTAGCATTAATTTATACTTTTGTAGCAACATAATATTTTTATAAACAGCCAGTGCTTGGCTCAACTCTTCACGGGGGTTTATGCAGGGCTATCTTAGGGACCCTGTGTACCATGTACTGTATTTAAAAAAAAAATTACCTAGTGTCACACTTGCTGTGTTAATTAACAAAGATGTCGTTGGTGGTCTCCTGTATCACTGGTGTGGATCCAGCAGTCCTTCAAGGAGCCACGTTGCATGGGGGTTGAGTTACCGGTTCTTGTGATACATAAACTCCCAAGGCCAAACTTGTGGGTTTATTTAGGATTTTCTGTGTGTCCTTTGGGGTGTTTTGTTTTTGGTTTGGATACCGTTTCTCCATTTTACAGCCAATTTGGTTTCATGATGTTTAAAAGTTTTACTGATGTTAAATGGAGGAAAGGAACAGAAAAATTTTAAAAAAAAGAGATTTTTACAAAGTAATAAAATTTAAAACTGAGCTGTTTCAATGTTGCTGTTTTTACCTGTCTGTTCTTGTCCAAAAGTGGAATATTCCCATGGAGAAGAGGAAGGTTCCACTGGGTTCCTTAAGTCACCAAAAGCCCCAGCCCAAGATTCAGTTCCTTCCTGACCCCCCGAACCATTTCCCAGCTGGTTGTTGCCAAGGCAAAAAGACATCCTTTCAGTGACTAGAGGATCAGTTGCCTAAGTGCGTTCACAAGTTCATGTCAGTGTTGTATTTATGGTTTTACAATAAAACAACCTTTAGGAACCTCTGGTGTGTGATGCCTTTCTTAGGGTTGGAGTTGGGCCATGTCATCCACTGTGTAGAGGGGAGAGCAGAACACCTCAAGGGAGCCCAGCGTGGGGAGGTTGCCTTCTTGTTCTGTAGGTAAGTGAAGCACAGGCCCCTCCTCCAGACCCACTCATGTCCCTGACTAGTGGTGGGGAGCTCCACTCTAAGAAGCTGAGTCACATGGGTCTTCTGCGGAAAAAGTCCTATCAAATTATGTGTGTCATCTCTATACTTGGCCCCTTCCCAGAGGGCAACAGCCTTGCCCTGCAGGCATGCCCCACAGGAACCACGGGCATCTGTGTGCCAGCAGGTAAAGTTGGTGCAAAAGTTTCTCCACAATTGAAATTATCAGAAGTTGGCAGCATCCACAGGCTTTTCTGAATTCCCTTGACCTTGAGTGTCAAATAAGGCCAGGCTGTGGCCTCTGGACCTCATCACAAAGAGCCAGCCTCTGGGTTGGGTTGTATGACCATTTAAGAAGGTGCTTATTAAGCAGCTGCATCCATACTGTAGCAAGTAAACCTGACTAGTAACCACCGAAAACCCCACTGTAAGACTGGATGTGCTGTGTGCCTCTTCAGGGTAGGGGCCTCCTGGCAGGGGATGAATCTTGGTTCCTTGTGGGGTGAGTGATGTGGTTTCCTGAGACTGGGTTACAGGCAGGCCTCACCCCCATCCCACCAGAATGATAATTGTTAGGGTACACTATTGTTTGTTTAAAGCAAGTCCCAGGTGAAGCCTGTCCTGAGAGAGAACACAGTACTGTCACAGAAACAGGTGACTTCGGAACAGAAAATTGGAGTCAGGACAAGTACGAAGCAAGGTGGCATATCCTTAGGACACAGCCCCAGCCCCTGGTGTATCTTCCCAGGGTGTGGTGGCACACAGCTCTGTTCAAGCACTGGATAGGTCGAGGCAGAACAATCGGGTGTGGAGCCAGCCTGGGCTACAGAAGGATCTTATCTCAAAGCTTCCAAGAGCTGAGCAGGTTTTCATGAGGACACTTATTCTCATGAAATAGGGAATCCAAAACAATACAAAAAAGTATACCCAGTGAAGCTGACATTCTACCCACTGTGGGAACCAGCCAGCATGTGGAATCTTACCCTCTGTTAAAGATTTGTGCTCCAGGCCAGTCCAAAGTGCCCCACTTCAAAGTGGTACCTCAGATTCCCCTTAGCAGCAGATGGATGTACATCGTGATGATGTTTATTAGCCCCAGCTGAGGGACCTTCCTGAAACCTGTTTCTGCACAGTTGCCTGTCTCCTTCCATCTCATCCACTTCAAACCAGAGCTGCAATCGTAAATATTGTTCCTCCAGATAATCTCTTCTTTTGGAAACTAGAAACCCCAAGTTCCAGACTTTGAAAGGCAATGTAGTGTCTGTTTGTGTCTCAGGGAACTATAGCATGTTCTAGACTCTCATCCTCCCTGCCTGACAGAACACTTTAGCAAACGGTCATGGGGCATGAAAAGCAATCTCCTTGCAGACCTGGTTTCTCCTACAGGGATGACTTTCCACTCCAGAGCATTATCAAGCAGGGGATCTTCACCCTCTGCTAATCTGCCCATCATCGTGGGAACTCTGGGTGGATCTAATTAGTGCCAATTACAGGAGAGTCCCCCAGGGCATGGTCACGGGCCATGCTTATCCTTGTGATACTTTGGCCAGCCCACCTCCTCTCTTTCCCACAGGGCAAGAATCCAGCACAACCCAGTGCTTTGAACTCTGGGCCGGGGCCCAGCTATTTGTTACAGATGCATTGGGAAAGCCAGTAGACAATCTCCTAGGGCGGAGGGCCAGTGAGGACCCCAGGAGACAGGACTCCAGGTCAAGGTAGAGAAGAAGCAGAGGCTGAAGCTCCAGTGATTTGGGATGTGTGTGGGACAAACTGACAGCTAGAGGGAACTACTAGAAAGGACTCGGGAGTGGCAAGGATGGGGACAACCTCAGGTACCTGGGCACTCCAGGGCATCACTATTTCTTTGACCTTGAGTCTTTGTGACCCCCATCCAACCTCTTCTAGAAACAAGTGCCAGGATTCCTGGGCTTTCTTTTTTCTGTTTGTTGAAGTAAAACAAAATAACCCTACTTTACACTACTGCAGAGTTAGGGACTATTGTATCTGAAGTGGTGCACAACCAGGATCTTGTTCTACAAGAAGCTGTCACATTGCAAGCCATGCATCTTGCTTTCCTGGGAAGGCTGGGTTACTCATGCCCTAAGCTTCCTTCCCCTCCCGCAACCCCCTCATTATAACCACTGTGACAGTGAGATGCCAACACACAGAATGCCAGGAATTGACAGCTTGTTTTATTTGGATCCAGATCACCTGGGCCAGCTCACACCGGGATGGACAGTGTCTATCCTCTGGCTTGAAGACTAGCACCTTCAGCTTCGTATTAGCTCCTCATACCCTGTGGATACAGAGTAACTCAGGCTGGGTCCTTGGGTTGGGATGAAACATCACCGCTGCTAAATAACTTATCTCCCATGGCTATTGCATGGGACAGTCTGGCTTTCTGACTTCCTATAGGTACCATTTTCCAGTGGGAATAGCAAGGCCCTGAAAATGTTAAGTGGCTACCATAGCCTGGTCATCCTTTTAAGAGCAGCTCCTGCCAGCTGAGCACTGTGAAGTTGGACAGGTAGGTGCTTTGTCCCTTTTTACAAGAATGTAAAGCTGCCTTCTAAATTCCCTTGAGGTCTGGTCTAGTGGTACAGAATAGTATTCCAAGATACTCAAGAAGATGGTAAATCAAGGCCTTCCTGGGCTATATGAGCAACTCCCTAAGACCCTGACTCAAAACAAACCATTAAAAATTAAAAAAAAAAAAACACTTGGCACCTAGCATATGATGGGGCCTAGATTTGGTTCATGTGGTTAACCTGAAAAAGTTGGAGAATTGCTCCACCAAGGTCCTCAGCTACTCTACCTGCCTTCTGCTGATGCCTAGGCATCGTCCTTCTCTGGACCAGCTAGCACAAGCTAGGTCATGGTCCTGGCTTTGGCCCATTTCCCAAGTGAGAAGCTAAGGCCCAGAGAGTGGACCAGGCTGCCCACCTAGGAAAGAATTCACTTTTGGACTCTCCAGCCCCCACCCCTTACCAGCACTCCCCTCCCTGCCTCCCTGGGCTTCCAAGGGCCTCCTACCATCACCAGGAACTCCACAGTACTCCTTGCATTCCTTCTCAGAGTAGAACTTGTTGCCGTTGCCTTTGCAACCCCCATAACTGAATTGGACACATTTCCCTTGTGCTGCATCAAATGCCCAGAGCTCTATATAGGCTCGGCAGGGACCTTGGACTATGGGGAGATTGCAGGCCGCTGTGAAGGGAAGGTGGACATGGAGTGTTAGTCACCCTTGAAGCTGCTGATGGGACATGCACAGGACTACTAAGACGGACAGAGGAGCCTGAACAGCTAGAGTGTATGGTCCTTTTACAGGCTGGGAAACTGCATGGCGACGTGACTGACCGAGGCCACCTGCATAGTGTAGAATTCCTATGAGCAACTTGCCCTGGATTCCACCCTGAGAAAAGCATAACTTGGGTTCATGGTCAGGTGGCCTGTGGCATGATGAGAATGAGGGGAAAGGAGGGTGCAATAACAAAGTGCACTCACCTATGGTCCGGCACGTCTGCAGACATTCCTTCTCAGAGTTGAAGTTATTGCCATTGCCCAGGCAGCCCCCATATTGGAAGGTCTCACAGGCCATGGAAGCACCATTGTAGTAATACTTCTCTATCATCCCTAGGCAGGGACCTTCTGAATAGTTGAGCTGGCAGGAATCTGGTAAGGAACAGATGAACAGTACTTACTGAGCACTTGCTGTATACCCCTGTACGCTTTGCTATGCACCTGTATGTGACTTTATATGCATCTCCCATGCTAACAGCACTTGCTGTGTGCCTATGTGTAATTTGATATACATCACCCATTTTAACAGTGCTGTGTGCCTGCATATGACTTGATGTGTACCGTCCATGCTGAAGGCCTATCTACTCATCCTTTGGATGAGAAGCAGGTATCCCTTACCTTCTTCACCCCTAGATGGGTTAAACTCAGAATGAATATCCAAATCCATAGACTCAGAAAATCAGTGTCCATTCCACCCCCTAGCCCAAAATGGGAGGTTTACCAGTGAGACCCTAAGACCTATCTGCCTGGAGACTAGCAGGCTCCTCCTTTCCTCAACAGCCACCTTGACCCTTTCAACAAGATGCCACCCATGCCTTTGCTCTCCTGTGACCCATAAAACCCTTCCTGGGCACAGCCTGAATTAGCATGGTGTGGGAAGTGTCTTTCCCTACCTCACCTTTGTCTTCTTAGATCACCAGCACTTTGATGATGCTCTCCTTTGGGCCTATCCTTTGTTCCCTCAGAAGTCTCCCCACTAACACCAAAGAGCCAACAAGACCCAATGCCCACAAAAAGGCCCAGGGTGGGGCGGGTTTGGCATTTACTGAGCAAGTTAAGAGAACTGTCATCCACACAAATTATCCTAATGTCCTTCCTCATTCCTGATACAAAAGCCATAATGGTCAGCTCAGGAGACAAACATCCCATATAGCAGAGCAAACCAAGGCTTGGTGGGTACACAGACTGGACAGAAACTCATTCCTGGCAAAGGTGAGCTCTCTTGAGCCTGGAACTATATCTGCTGCTTCTCTCCCTCTAATCCCACAGGGTACAGAACTTCATCTGCCCTCTCTTGGCCAACCATCAGCTCTGTAGCAGAGAGATGGGCCTCACAGTGCTGAGGCAGCCAGGGAGAGACAGGCACAGACTCTTCTTTGGAGCATGGCTAAAGCAAGTGAACAGATGGGATTCCTTACCTTCTTTCTTGAGAACATCAGTTACCAGTGGCCCAGCCCCTGATCCCTCGTTTTCTTGGGGCAGCACTGCCCGCCGAGCTCTCTGGAGAGAGGAGAGAACAGCATTGCAGAGATCTTGCTGAATTGCACCTGAACCACTGGAGTTGCACAAACAGACTAGACTGCCCACTGAAACGCTAGCTCCAGTATCAATTTAAATTCCAGAAAGGGCTTCACAGAGTGACATGCTCAAGAGGGTAGATGGATATAAAGTCCCCTGAGGCCAACTTTAAAAGGGATGGGTAGGAAGACTGCTGATCACTAGGCAGCCTTTCTGCTCACAGCCGTGGCCTAAGACTCGAATAGGCAGAACTATGGTAATCTTAGATTGTTTCTTCTTTTAAGAGGCAACTTAAAATTTTCAGGGCCCCTGGTCTCATCCAGGCCCATCTTAACCTAGTGGCATAGAGGCCTTCCTTGGTGAAAAGGGGGAGAAGAAGAAAAAAGGGACAAGCTAGATGACACAGTTGCTCAGAGGAATTGGATTAGATTGGAAAACTATTTCTACTTCACAAGGATGAGATCGAGAAACAGGAAAGACGATTAAGCCACCAATAAAATCCACACTAATATCCACTAATATACCAGCCACCACCAGCAATGGAAACCATTGGAGTTGGAAAAGATGTTGGGTTTAACCTCATAGTTGAGATAATAAATTGCCATTTAGACATGCAGGAAATAAATTCACATCCTAGGTGTTGTAGAAGGAAGACAAATAGGGCAGAAACAATAGAAGAAACTTTTCTGAGTTGAAGGAAAAATTGGGTTGCCCAATTATGAGGGAAAAATGAATTATCAAAACTAAAAACAAACAAAAAAACCAAAAACCTAAAAAGCAACTCTTTATAGGCATTCCAGGAAAGAAAGACAAGGTGCCTGATGGCTCTCAGGGTGAATAACAGGATTTAAACACAGAAGCTCAAGAGCAAAATATGAAGGTCATGGAAAAAATTGCAACCCAGTAATTCTCCACTTACCCAAGCTGTTGACCAAATGATAGACTCACAAAAACATAATCTAAGCTGGGCAGGTGTGCTGGCTAGTTTTTATGTCAATTTCTCATAAACTAGAGTCATCTAGGGAAAGAACCTCAATTGAGAAAATACCTCCATAAAATCAGGCTATACAAAAGCTGGAAGAGCATTTTCAAAACTAGAGATTGATATGGGAGGGCCTATCCCATTGTGGGTGGCACTACCCCGGCTTTTGTAAGGAAGCAGGCTAAGATAGCTATAAGGAGCAAGCCAGTAATCAGCTCCCCTCCATGGCCTTGGCATCAGCTCCTGCCTCCAGGTTTCTGCCCTGTTTGAATTCCTTCCTGACCTCCTTCAGTGATGAACAGTGTTGTGGAAGAGAAGGCAAAATAAACCCTTTCCTGAGTTGCTTTTGGTCATGGTGTTTCATTGCAGCAATAGAAACCCTAAGACAAAAAGAAAAGAAAAAAAAAGGAGAGAAAGAAAAGAAAGGAAGGAAGGAAGGAAGGAAGGAAGAAAGGAAGGAAGAAAGGAAGGAAGAAAGGAAGAAAGAAAAGGATTCAGAAATATGGCTCGTGAGTTTTTCCTGGGAAGAAAACTGTTCATTATAGAAACATTTCTATAAAAGAAAGGGAAATTTAAATTTCTGAAGTAAAATGTAATTGTATGGAGGTTGTGGCATCTCCCATGGAGAATTCAGCATGGCCATGATTGTGGTTGATGGCTGATGACAGAGAGTTCATGTATGATAGAACAAGACAGTGCAGAGGTTCCTCCATCTTGTATTCTTGATGAGACCATTTCAGGTTTAACCAGACTCTGGCTTCCTTAATGGAGAATCCCATGGGAAATTACCCAGCTCTGTTTTATAGGAACCAAAAGTTGGGGTGCCCTAGCTAACTTAGCTTCTGTTGAAACTGCTTTCTTCATACACTTATTTCTGAGAAGTTCTCCCTCCATACAGCTGCAGAGCGAGATGCGAGGATGTGGTTTCTGCCTTTTTAAAACCCAATGTTCTGGACACTCACGGATATACTCAGGTCCCTGGACACTTGAGTGTGATCCAAGCCAGCTGGAATAAAGACTTTCAATTGGCTACATACTGTGTCTTAGTGGTCATCTCTGGTAAGATCTTTGTAACACATAGAGACAAAGCTGAAGACAAGGAGTAGATCTTTGACATCAGGCTGGGCTGCCTGGTCAAGGACCTGAAGATCAAATCCCTGGAGAAGACCTACCTGTTCTTGCCCATCCTGAAGATAGATTATTGAATTTCTCTTGGGAGCATCCCTTAAGGATGAGGTTTTAAAGATCATGGCAGTGCAGAAGCAGACTTGGGCTAGCCATTGGACCAGGTTCAGTGTTTTTGTCACTATTGGGGACTACAGTGGCCATGTTGGTCTGGATGTTAAGTGCTCCAAAGAGACAGCCACTGCCTTCCAAGAAACCAACATCTTGGCCAAGCCTTCCACTGTCCCAGTGTGGAGAGGCTACTGGGGAACAATACTGGCAAGCTCCACACTGCCCCATGCAAGGTGACGACAGGAGCAGTGTGACTATGTACTTGTATGTTTCATCCCTGCCCGCCTCCAACACTGGCATTGTCTCTGCTCCTGTGCCCAAGAAACTGGCGTTGCTAGCCAGTTCTTAAACTCCAGAAGGCTGACTGATGGTCTTGATGGTGCAGAGTGCCTGGGACATGGCTTCTGAGGAATGATGGAAAAAACACTCACCAGAAGTGAAGTGGATTCTTGTTCCAGATCCCCAGGAACACATTCCCCTAGGCAGAGGACACAAATGAAGAATGAGCAAGAGGCCCAGGTACAGGAAGGCAGACAGATACCAGATCTTGGGTACTGGGTAAACATTGTGTCCTGTGCTTTAGAGCGCTCCATAGAGAGCCCTCCTCGATCACTCAAAGCCACTGATGGGACAATCAACAGACTGGTGGCTGCACCATCAGTCCCATCTGTTGCTCCAGCATCATCCCATCAGTATCCTCAGAAGGGCAGCAACAGTGGCATCTGCAGAGCTCTTCTAAGGCACCATGCTGCAGCCCCTAACAGTTTTACCTCGCTGCCTCCTCACAGCAGGCTTTGACAAAGAGCACTGTTATCCAGTTTGACAAATGAGGAAAAGTAAGGCTCTAGGAAGGCTAGCCAGGAGCCACGCCTCTCTGCTTAAAGCACTGCACTTGAATGTAGGTGCTCAGTGGAGTCTGTACTCTCAAACCCAAGGGCCTGCTGCCTCCTCAGCAGTGTGTTCAGAGACTTGGAGCAAACCCAGGAGCTCTCTGTGGCCTTGTTTGTCTCTGGGTGTTATAGGAAACATTCAGGGACTGAGGGTATCTTCAGGGGACAGGAAGGATGAAAGGACCAACATTCAGAGCGGGGCAAGATACCACTTACCTCTGTCAGCCATAAAAACGATGGAGTTCTCAGGGATGCCCACACTCAGGGCCACCTCCCTGAACTCCTGCAGAAGGCTGTCCCTCAGCTGTGGCTCCCGGCCTGCAAATGGAAAGCAGGGGAGATACCTAGAGCCCAGGGCACCTGGACTGGCCCGCTAGGGTGACTGTGTCCAGTGAAAAGTGTGGAAAGGATTGAGCCACTAATTCTCCTTTACACTCTGTTGAAAAATGGCTTCCCAAGAGACAGTGGGCCCATCATAGGTCCTCCCTGATCCTTTCCATTTTCATGGGGACACATGTGTTTGTCGGTGGGCAGCTTGCAGGTGGAGTTGAAGAAGGAAATCAACTTCCGTTGGGGCAGGGTCTCCCTGTCAAACTCAGAGCTCAGACTCTGCTAGTCTCACTTGCCAGCTTGTGTGGGGGTCACCTGTTGAATGGAATTACAGGCGGTGACCATGCCAAACTGGTGTTTATGTGGCTTCTATGAACCCCAATTTGGCCTCATGGGATTTAACCACTGACTGAACTGTCTCCCCAGCCCCAGGAGTTCCTTCTAGAGATGGAATGAGAAGTCTGCCTCACCAGGGAGACTGAGCTCTTCTTCCTCAAGGCCAGGACCCCTTGTCCCTCCCTAATCAGAGTTCTCTCCCCAAGGAAAAGCAAACTTCTTGTTCCCTCCCCCATGGTCCAAAAAGTAACAGGCTCCTCGTTGAGGCCTTTACCATAGAGCTTGGCAGTGATGGTGGGTCCGTGGTAGTGGCTGAACTTTTTGGTGAGGAAAATGGCATACTCATCATAGTTGGTGTGAACCACATAGGATTCCAAGGTTACATTCCATTCTGTGTGGGAGATACAGGCAGACGCAAGGAGTCAGTGGTCAGGCTCTTCACCTGTCCCTGACTCAGCGTGCTGCATCCACACCCCACAGCCACACGCCCCATCCAGCATCTCATGTCTGCTCATCCAGTGTCAGCCTCTCCCCGCCTGCTCGACAGCATTGACTCCATCTTCACTCCACCCATCCACTGTCCGTCCTTTCCTCCTTTTCTGACCGCCTCCCTGGTCCCCTCCCTCTCTTTCCCACCTTGCTCTTTTCATCCCTTTTCCCTCCCTTCACCCTTCCTCTCTCTTTCTCCCTCCCCCACACTCCCCTATTACCTCTCCTTCCGTTCCTGTTCTTTCCTTCCTCATTTTGTTTTCTTAAAGCAGAGTCTCATTCAGCCCAGGCTAGCCTTTTAGCTTGTTAGGTAACCAAAGATACCCTTGAACTTCTGGTCTGTCCTCCTCCTCATCGGTGGGAACGTAAGCATGAACCACCTTGCCCGGTTTTCCTTTCTTTCTTCCCACCCTTCCCCTTCCCTTCTATTCTGACTTTCCTTCCTTATTTTCTCTCTGTCACTTCACCCACCTGTCTTTCGGATGACCAGTCCGCTCACCTGTCATCCCCAGCCTACCCATTTGTTTATTGTTGCTACCCACTCAGTGTTGCCATTCTTCTGTCAAACACTCAGGGGTTCACCTTATGCACCGTGATTTAGCACACAGAGATTAGACAGGCAGTTGCTAAATTTGGGCCTGCATCCCTTTGTCACTTAGTACCAAGCATGAGGCCTGCAGGTGGGGAGCTGGGGAGCTTCTAACGTCATCCTTGGCATCCTACACCTCTCCCAGCTCTGGGCATATGCTAAATGGGAAAAGCTGTGGAGTGCCAAGCATTTGCGGGAAGTTCTGGATGACTTCTCAGATACACAGGAAGGAAGGTTGCAAGGGTCAAGAGAGAAGAGAAGGGACCATGGTGTGTCCCCACACTCACTGGATTTGTGGTAGAGGAACTTTCCATCGACGTCTGTCTTCTCATATGTCCCAGAGACCTCTTCGCAGACACCTCTCCTGGCAATGACCAAGCCAAAATGTTCTTTTTGTGTTTGGAAATGAACATTCCCAAATACCTTGTTTCATGGTCACCCTAGCCCTTGCAAATCCCCTTTTTGTGCATGGGGAACACAGAAAAGGGTTGCATTTATGCTTCCTGCCAGGGTAAGCAGTAAAGTCACTATTGCCATTGCTGCACGTTACCCTGGTGGTAGTGTGCTTTCATTCATTGCCTAATGTCCCCAGTGGGGATGAAACATTGATGCCCCTTAGTGGCATGGGGGTCACTCAGCACTTCTCATGGATCATACAGTATTTTAGCTATTGTGATTTCATGATCACTCCTTATCTTGTGAAGAGCTCTTGTGCCACATGCTGGGACACAGAGGAAAACCAGATAGGCCTGTCCTTGCATGGGGTTTGTAGTAACATGGGCCAGGAAGTCCAGCCAGGGCCACATGCAAACAGTGTACTCAGAGCAGTATGTCGGAACACTGTACTCCAGAGGCCTGAACTGGGGATCGGGGCATGGGGGAAGCTTTCTGGAAGAAATAACATGGAACTAGCACCCCAAGGACTCAGAGTTAGGCCAGGGAGGCAGGGAAATGTGCAAAGGCCTGTAGGGCTGAGAGCATGAAGGGCACTGGAAATGGAAAGATCTGCTGCAGAGGGTTGCAGAGGCCATGGGAGAGAGAGCATGGAGCAGGCAGGGGTGAGAGCTGAAAAGCCATGCCAAGATTTCACTCTTAATACTGAGAGCAGTGGGGAGCCATGGAAGGTTCTCTTCGGCAGGTGTGGCTTTTTCACAAGGTCTTTCTGGATGCTGGGTGAAGGCTGGATCGGAGGGAGAGACTGAGGTTGAAGGTGGAAAGGATAGTAGATGGGTTGCAGGAGACAGGAAGGACAGAGGGGAAGGGAGGGAGGAAAGGAAGGGGGAGAGGGAGGGAAGGAGGGAAAAGGCTTGGACCACAGTGGCAGCAGGGGAGACGGGATAGGTGGGAGAGGCTTGAAGAAGGGGTAAATCTCCGTGATGGCAGCAGGGAGGAATGAAGAGTCTAGAAACTCCACCCTAGACTCTGGCCGGAGGCTCTTTGGCTAGGTCCCTGGGGTACTTGTTCCCTTCTTTCTCTGAAGAATCCCCAAGGAGAGGCAGGATGCACAAGAAGCATTGTGTTGGAGACATGGTCCTTGAGAGGCTACTAGATGTTCGGTGAGGAGGGACAGCAATGGTTCCTGGGGTCAGAAGCAAGCTCCAAGCTGTGTTTCCAGGATCCTGGTTGTTTCTGCAGTGCCACTCACCGCCACCGGGTGCTGGTCGTGCTGATCTCTGTTTCTGTCGTCCCTCTCTGAAGCACCAGTGTGCTAATGCTCATCTTGTTCTTAATCTTCCTCAACCACGGGCAGGTGGAGCCCACTGCCAGGTTGAACCATTTTCCATAGATCTAGGAAGAACCACAAGCCCGGTTCTGGATTTACCCAAGCCTTTGAGAAGACATGTCCACATTTTCCTTTCCTCCTCCAAGGGCCAGCCCTTTAAAGGGCAGTGTCTCAAGGCCGATGGTGAAGTTCCAGGTACAACGTAGTTAGGGCAGAGGTGTGTGATGTCCCCCTGCCTTACACAAGGCCTATTCCACAGATGTAAAGTGTCTGTGAAGCAAGTGGGGCCCAGACTGCGTACTCCGAGACCACTAGCCACCACTGCTCAGGAGTGTGAGGCTTTGGTTGCATACCTTCCATAGCAGAGTGTGGGCCACCTTGTGGGGCAGCCCGATCAAGGGCCATGGAGCTACCACGAACCTGAAAGGGCCTTGTAGGACCAGTAACTGACCTCTTCCTCTTGACAACATTCAGATGGTGCTGACCTTCCAACCCCTCGACCTCCAGCACAGCTGTTCCTTGTCCTAAGAGACGCCTGGAGAGTTCTGAGAGTCCGCCTTCTGAGAGACACTGTCCCCCACCCACTTTATGATTCAGGACAAAGCTAGGGCTGCTGGCTCTACAACACACATACACACACACACACACACACACACACACACACACACATCTGCACATCCTCATTCCATATAGACACACAGTGCCGTGCCTGCCACAGGCTAGGGTGCCCTTGGGCTCACACTTCCCAACCCCATCGACTGCGTCCTGCTTCTCTTCCTCCAATAATTTCATAGGCCCGTCTCCAAAGCTTACAGGCCAACACCCATCCTATGCCACCTGCCACGTGTGGATTCCTCTGGGAATCCATGAAGACAGAATGAATGCCATGTGAGGGAATCCCAGAACAACCTACCTACCAGTCAGGTCAGGAAGGGCCCCTAAGGATCGGGATGCTGTATACAATGGGAAGATGGACACCCCAAGACAGACAGCAAGGCCCAGTGGCGTGGACATGCCACCACTGTGGCCATCTCAGCCAGAGAAGCCAACCTTACCCGGGACTCGCTGAAATTCTCCTGAACCTGGATGTCAGGAAATGATGGCACAGGGTCAGTCCCCGAAGCCACACAGGCGGTCAGCAGCAGGAACAGGGTCCCGAGACCCTGCATGGCTCTGGGGTCTTTGGCCTTTAATGTCTCTCAGCTTGGTGTGGGAGCAAGGAACAAGTTCCCTGGCAGGGGCAGCTGCAGACTGAAGCTGGGGAAGGGGCCAGAGGCCGGTGATGACCTTGGTGTTTGCTCTGCTCAGCCAAGGCCAATCAGGGTCCTGAGCCAACTCTAATCGATCCATGCAGCCTGGCTCAGGTCCAACTCTGTGGACAGGAAGCCATGGTTCCTGACTCCGAAGGGATATTGACCAAGCACAGTAGGGTTCAGACTCCAGAAAGACTTCCTCATAGGCCCAACTCTCCACAGGGAGCACAGGAAATGGGGGAGTCAGGTGATGGCCTTCCTTCCCCTTGGACCTCATGCCAGTGAGCCAGCAGGCACAGGCAACCTTGTCTGGCCTGTTTCTCACACAACAAAACATCAGTACCTGGATCTTAGCATTGGGGTGAGGTTTGAAGAGGTAGATGCTTGTGAACAGCTGCAGCATCTCTGGAGTGTGGTTATTGCTGAAGTATCTGTGTAGGGAAACTCAAATCCTCTGTAGAATGTATGTCCATTCTGTCTAGAACCACAGAACTGGACCCTACTTTCAGATGAGATTGGTTAAGGCAAGTTTGTACAGGATGGCACACCTCTTTTGTTTCGTTCCTAATGACTTGGAGTCTTTTGCAACAGCAGCCCAAGAGAGGTAACACAGTAACCTTTCAATCTAAAACAAGAACAAAAATATTCTTTTTGAGACAGGGATTTCAATAGCTCAGACTAGCCTTGAACTCCACACTCCAAGACAGAACTGCCCTTGAATATCTGGTCTTCCTGTTTCCACCTCCTGAGTGCCAGGGTCACAGGCATGCATACCAGGCCTGGTTAATGCGGTGGAGGGGGTGAAACCCATGGCCTCCTGCATGCTGGGCAAGAGCTCCACCAACTGAGCTCCATCCTTAGCCTCTAGATTTGCATATTATAATAGGAGTTTTAAAAAGTATCTGTGGTCTCCAGAGCTCAGACTGCTGTCCATGATGCTATGATCCCTCCCCATGTGCTCCTTTCTCCTCCAATGGTTCCAGCCACCATCTTTCCTCCTTTCATGCTCCTCTCTGGCAGAATGGCAGAATCCTGCATGCAGCAAGCAGTCCGTTACAGCTGACTCCAGAAAGCAAGAGGCCTGAAAGATTCAACGGGTCCCTTCCACAGTCAGTGCCTGGGCAAATAGTGTGCCATGTCCTTCTGAGAGGCCCAGCAGACAAGTCCCCTTTTGCTGGTATCCAAAGCACATATGTGTCTACTTGTAAATGGGTTTCCTATGCATCATAACAAACAGCTTGTCCATGGATGGGATTTGCTTTTTTTTTTTTTTTTTTTTTTTTTTTTGCTCTGGCTGCCAGAGAGCACAAAGCCTCCATGCACACTTCAACACAGCAACTGAGCAACTGTTTTTGGCTTAACTTTCTGGCTTAGTTACCTTCTTTCATGTCCCTAATCCTCAGACTTTTTAAAAAAAATACTATTTGTTTGCATGTGGGAATAGCATGTGCAGCAGTACACATGCCACAGCCTGTGCTGTGCTGGAGGTACATGTGGAGGTCAGAGGACAACTGGCAGGAGTCAGTTCTCTGCTTCCACCACGTGGGATCCGGGGATGGAACTCAGGTTGTCAACGTTGGCAGCAAGCCCTTTGCCCACTAAGCCATCTTGGCAGCCCAGTTTCTCAGTCTGTCATGGTTAGCTAATGGTGGGCACAAGGAGGTGAGCTGAGAGGGAGGACAGAGAAACAGAAGCTAGGCATCTGGACTCCTTGTTCTGTGGGAGCTTGGAGACAGTTTTCCCTCTTCCCTAATCTATAAAGGAGAGGACAGAGCAGTTGTCATTTGACCCACTTGGAGGGCAAGAAGTATTCTGTGAATGGCCATGGCCACTCCAGGATCTGTCCTGCTACCTGGGCTAGGATACATGCATTGTTCAACATGAATATATATGATGTATGTATGTATATTTACATATATAAGTAAATAATATACAACATAATAAATGTAAGTTTATATATTTATATGAGTATATAGCAATATATTTCTAATGTTTTATATATAATAAATATACATGTAACAAAATATTATATAACAAGTTATATGCATATGTATAATTTATTTTTACTTTATGTTCATTGGTGTTTTACCTGCATGTATATCTGTCAAAAGCCCTGAAATTGGAGTTATAGACAGATGTGGGCTGCCGTGTGGGGGCTGGGAATTGAACCTAGGGCTTCTGGAAAAGCAGCAAATGCTCTTAACTGCTGAACCATCTCTCCAGCCCCCAACATGGCCTTACTGACCTTCCTGGCAGGCCCAAAGCACTCAGGGTATCCCAGCTCTGACCTCAGACTGTTTTAGACAACCCCATATGCTCATCGTACAGCCTGCTGGGGAGAGGAAGCTGGGGGGGACGGCTCAGTAAGTCGTTTTACTCAGTACTCAACATGCCCATGTGTGTAAGGGGAGGGGACAGAGGATGCCAGGGGTGCTGATCTCTCCTCTTGCTCCAGATGTTTGCACTCCTGAGATTATTAACCAGAGCAAACAGAGAGGACCCCAGCCAAGGCCATCTGGACTTTGAACAGCTTTTAAACATTAACAGGAACTACAGGGGCAGAAGGCAGGCAGTGCCTAGGACCCCATTCCCTCTTCTCCTTTGTTTTCAGAGTAGAATACGAAAGCTGAGCCCCCCCCCAGGGGCCCAGAGTTCACAGGAATCCTCAGGACTCCAGGACGGTTTGAAGGTGGGGAGGATGTTGCCCATCCAGGAGCCTCCAGAGTAACCAGTACAGCAGACATTAGAGGCCTGTTTTCAGACGAACACTTCGGGGGCCCAGGTGCAGCCCAAAGATGCCACACCCATGTCATGGCTATTCAAGTGCTTATTCTTTCAAGCAGGTCACTAGGACCAGGACAGGGACCCTGACAGGATTGAGGAGGAGGCAGGCAAACAGGGAAATCATCTAAGGCAGGGTGTAGTGATGGGGGACAGAGGCCAGCAGAGGAGGACTCATCCAGAGAGTGGACATGGCCAGACATGAGTGCACAGGGGAGTGAGGTCCCAGAAGGGAAGTCACCTCAGCACTGGGGATGAAGTCACAAAAGTCCCAGAAGAGGAAAATGGAGAGAAATGCTTTTGGGATACAATAAATAAATATCAGGCAGATGGGACGGCTCAGTAGATAAAGGTACTTCCTGCCAAGCCTAATGACTTGAGTTTTGTCCTTGAAACCCTCATGATAGAAAGAGAGGACCTGACTCCTGCAAGCTGTCCTCTGACCTCTGTGCTCTTGTGCACACATGTGCATGCTACTAAAATAAATGTTGTAAAAGCATTTGTAATTAAAATTAAAAAACATCCCTAAGCTGGGAGCTTGGAGGCTAAAGGGGAGTGGCTGGGCCCATGGGACTGGCAGGATTGCCAGGCCTGGGGCTTGCTCCTTGCCCTGGGATCACAGAGTTGTTTATGTTCAGAAAGTGGTAGAGATCATATCTGGGGTCAGGGAGATCAATGGGGAGACAGGAAAGGAGTTGGGGGACAGTTAAGTACTCAGGAGGCTTCCAGGAAGAGGGAGGGATTGGACACTAGAAACTGTGACTAGACCAGAAGGGAGCTGGGGTAGAACCAAGGCCAGTGGGTGTGGGCAAGCTTAGTGCAGAAGGGCATGGCAGGGTGGAGGCCCCGCCCACTTTCCTGTCACAGGCTATTCATTAGCAGCTGCAGGAGGGAAGCAGGGGTGGGTGCTGTGACAGTGGAAAGATGAGGTCCTCCATGCAAGCTGAGTTACACGTTTGCTTTACTTCCCACCCTGTGCCCAAGAGCAAATCCAGGCTCTTAGAATGTCTGAGGCCCTGGGTTTGAATCCCTACAATTGCATAAACGGCCCATCACTTAAGAGGTAGAAGATCGGAGTTCAAGGTCATCCTCAGCTACATATAAAAATCAAGGCCAAACTGGGCTACCTGAGACCCTGTTAAGAGAAAAAAGGAGGAGTTGGGGGTGGGGGTGCCACCTGGAGATTTGAGTATCAGTCCCCAGTGACTTACAGGGGACTATAGGGCAGCCCTTTCCCTCCTTGGCTTCAGCTGTTTCATCTAAACATCCAACAGGACAGTGCTCACTCAAGTGACATGGCTGAAACAGGCCACAGAAGACACTTGTGAAAACATCCGCAAAGTGTGTGGACTTGAGGAAGACACATTATCACTGGCACAGGGCACTGAGCCTGCCCAGCTTTGGCCTCCATACCTGGTTGAATTGTGCTAGGAATGCATAAATGTCTCCTTTCCACCAGGGGGCAGCAGAGAATTTACAGAAAACAAAGACAAGGAGGGCCAGCATCAAAGTCATGTAAAAATAAAACAAACAAAAACGAAGGGTCTTCCTTCTAGCCTGCTGTTAAACCCTTGTGAGTCTCCATCTTGACCTGCAAATCCCTGTGCCAATTAGAGAGCTGAAGGGTTGAGAGAGGCCCTTAAACAAACCATTGGAACATTCTACTGGGGGACAGTAATTGGGCACATAGGCTGGCAGGCACCCAGGAGACCTGAGAGTGTCCTTTAGGTTGTCTCTCTTAAGTTTCTATTCAGGGCCCTCGGATGCTGGTAGCCCTGTTTTTGCATGTAGGAAAACTGAGAGATCAGGTGTCAAGAAGGCCACTTGCAGGTAAGTCACCATTAAAAACCCAGATCTGACTCCCTGACCCCCAAGGCTCTCTGCTGACATCCTTAGCCCTGGGCCCTGGTAACCAGCAGGACCTCTTGGCCATACTACCCAGGAACATCCATGACCCCTGCTACCTGTTGTTCTCACCTATTGCAACTACTTTCTGTTCTGAGTAAAGCAGGCTGAGTCAGAGTTCAAAGGTACACATGAAGATGAATGACAGAGCCCATCCTGCTCTGGCTCCTTGGAGAGAGCTGGCCTTAGTGGATGGACCCTGAGGTGCTGTCAGCTGGGACTGCAGGGCTGTGGCTTAGTATGGAGTGACAGCTTAAAGAGTGGAACACTGTGGGATCCAGAGGGTGACTCAGTACAATGTTTGCCATGCAAGCATGAGGGTTTGAATTCTGTCTCAGAACCCACATAGAGGTGTGTGTGTGTGTGTGTGTGTGTGTGTGTGTGTGTGCACTCACTCGTGTGTGTGCATGTGCACATGTGTGCATGCCAGCACTAAGAGGCATTGTCCATAGGTAGATTCCAAGAGATCACTGGCTACCCACCAGCAAGTTCTGGGTCAGGTAAAACACCCTGCCTCAAGAACCAAGTACTTGAGAGTACTACTTGAGGTTGACTTCTGACCTCTACAAGTGTGCATGTATACATGCACTTGCACACATGAGCATATACACACATTATGCACACACACAAGAAAGTGGGACACTGTAGAATTCAGAGCATCCTAGAGATCCAGCTGTCATAGTGACAAGGCTCATCATCTGTTATCTAGCACCAGGAAGACTTCCAGAAGGATTTTGTGAAGCCTTTGCGAGTGCCCAGGAAGGACATACTGTCACTGACTCAAATCTTGCAGGCTGGACTTGTCTGCCCATAGAAGCAAGACTTTAGGGCCCACCGCATCCCAGTGACCTTGTGAATGTACTCTCACATGTGTGAAAAGATAAAAGTTGTTCTTTCCTGCAACCACAAGGCCAGTGGGAGTCTTTAAAAAGTGCCACTTACCTTTCCTTGAGAAAGACAGATGAAAATTACCCAATGAATGTCTTGGAAGACAGTGAAAACTTTTCCCTGGCTCTCCTCTGACTGGCCCTAGTTGTCCCTGGAGAATCGGTGTCCAGTGAAGGAAGAAATCAACAGAGATGATATCACCATCTGTAATAGCAGGAGGCTAACCAGAGTTCTCTTTAGGCAGGCACAGGAATGACAGGTCTCTGCTGGTGCTGGGAACATCCATTGGTGATGACTTAGTGATAATAGCTAGTGTCTAAGCAGCTCCAGCCAAGGTCAGGCTTTGAGCTTCTGTCTATAAGCATCCACTTTTAACCCTATCATCCCCAAAGGCATTTGGATCCCTTTAGGGTAAATTAATTTTATCCTCATCACAGAAGAAATTGAGGCTCAGAGAGGTTAATACTTCATCCAGGCTCCCACAGCTGGGAAGCTGGGCAAATGGAGACTGAGAAAGAGTAAAGCCTGCTGAGACTCCAGAGCCTGGGGACCATTGACACCTGGCTTGCCCAAGGCCCTAACCATTGAGCAGCAAGGGACAAATTTCTTCCTAACACTCCTAACACAGCTGGGCTCTCTTGGCTCAAGCTGACTACACTCAGGGATCCTTGTTGGCCCTTCCTGTGGGGTCCAGCTAGACTGCTCTCATGGTAGCCTTTGAGAACATTTTTCTCAGGGGGCCATTCCTATCACACACGCATGCTGCCTGTCCCTCCTGCAAAATGAAAAGTGCAACCTCATTGCTTCTGCCAGCTATTGAGGAATAAAGGTGCTAGCACACTGCAAGTCTTGTGAGCAGTGGTTGACCCACACAGATGCACTGGTTGTCACGATCTCTGCACAGAAATTGTCAGTTGGCTTTTCTTTTCCCCGTTGCTTGGCTAGATGGTCCAGAAGAGCAAGGCATTGGCTCAGCTTCAGGCTGAGTGTCTGCTAAGTAGAGGACCTGTCTCCAAGTGAGGGCTTGCAATCACAAGGGATGAGAGTTCAGGGCCACAGCCCAACTCAACCATCAAAGTTCATCAGAGACAAGTAGGGCCATGCGAGGCTCGTGTAGTAGGTCTTTTGATTAGAGCCCTGCTTTCCAGCCATGACACTCGCCTGTCTGGTGATGGGAGATGTCATTCTGTAAATATGTTTCTCTTATTGGTTAATGAATAAAGCCCTGTTGGCCAATAGGAAAGCAAGTTAGGGAGCACTAGCCTTCAGGGCTCTAGTGAATGTCTCCTCTGGACCAGATCCGTTCCACTTTCAATGACTTTTTAAAATTCCACAGAAATCTAAGGAATTGGAATTCTGGGAAATTCATAGTTCCTAGGAATTCCAAGAGCCTCCCTCGATTCTAGTGTTCTGAGGTCTGGCAGCCTTTTAAACAATTGGGACCAAAGTTGTGTCCCCAAATTCCAGCATTCTGCATTACAATTCCAGAAGAGCCCTTTGGTGTCTGCAGGTCTCACTAAGGGCTAAATGGATGTGAAGTCTCACCTAGGACCAGAATCCTGTGGAATCCTGGAGCGCTTAGGGATCCTAGAGAAGTAGTCATCCTAAGGGGGAGGCAGAGGGAGTGGTGAACATAGCTCCAGGCAGCCAGGGCCGGTTGAGGTCAGCAGAGTCCTATGTCTCTTGTGGACAGGATATGAGGCTTTTGCTGAGCTAAGGGCAGAAGCTGGAACTAGGAACCTGGTTGGCTGTAGAGGGTCCTCCAAATGCTAATGAGGTAGATGAGGCCAGGGTCCCCCTGGGTGGTCACAATCCATCCTCCAACTCCCAGGGTGGATGGGGAAGGCTCTCATGCTCAGTGCCAGGGCCTTCTCTGCCTGAGGCAGAGGACCTCCCAACAAGCAGGGCTATACACCAGGCAGTGAGATAAGGGTTCAAGGGGGCCAAGGATGAGCAGGAAGCTGCAAAGCCACCCACACTGATTTGGTGCTGTGAAAGTTTCAGGAAAGGAGACCTTATATTGCCAACGGGGATCCCCTTCCCTTCAGGTCTCTGCATGAGCATCACCTCCACAGACCTTTCTGGAACTCTGTATTGAGAACCACACCCTTGCCCAAGCAGAGCTCCTTGGCACTGCCTGAGTTCTGTGAGAGCAGCACGCACCCCACACCGGTTCCCCTATGTATCTGTTGAGCAGTTTGTTTGAATGTGTCTATATGTACATGCGAGCACATGTGTGCACATGCATAAGGAGGCCAGAGGTCAACCTCTGGAATCATTTCTCCTCAGTCATGATATTAATTACAAGCATGCACCACTACACTTGTAGTGTGTGTGTGTGTGTGTGTGTGTGTGTGTGTGTGTGTGTGCGTGCTTCCTCGCTTGCCTGTCTGTCCATCTGTCTGTTTTCAGTCTCCCGGAGGAGTCATGTTACTCAAGTGAAGGTCGGGACACTTGGAGACAGTTCTCTTCCCACATGCGGGACCTGTGGATTGAACTCAGGTCCTCAGGCTTGGCAGCCAGTGCCTCTACATGCTGAGCCATTTCACCAGCCTCACACCTTGATGTTTATGGGTGTGCTGTGGGCCGAGGCTTATGTAACAAGCACTTTATCAACTCCAGAGCCATTTCCAGAGTCAGGACTGGTAATTCTACTAAATTGTCATGTGGCTATAACTTTTTGGACCAAACTCTTGGCAAGAGAAGAAGCCTCTTGGGACATTATTTCCAAATGCCAGAGTATTTCATCTCCATAAGGGTCATGTAAAGGGACATCACTGTTGTGCCCGTTTTGGACACAATGCAGAGCAGCTATATTGCCTAGGACCACCTGTGGAGAAGTGACAAGTGACTGGAACCCTTGTGATGAAGCCTGCCCCGCCTGACTGCATCTGGCCATCACCCTGACTCTAGACTCTGCTTTGACCCTGATTTTCTAGGGGCATCATGGCCTCTGCTGAATACCCCCAATGTCCAGTCACAAGTCGTACATCTCAATATCTGCTCCCTGGGGGCTGCAGCATGGGCTGAACCCCAGCTTCCGGAACCTTCTCTAAACAGACTCAGGAGTGGGGAAGACTCAAAAAGCCTAAGACACACCATATTCAGAGGGGCCTCAAGACATCCAGGTTTTATCTTTTTGTCCTTGTTCCCAAAGGGAACTCAGGTCTTCTTTTTAGAATGCTGGGTAAGAGCCCAGAGTCTTCTTTGTTTGGTCTTGTACCAGGGAGTATGTTGGAGAAACCAGTCCTGGTATCCATAGCTGGGTCACCCTATTAAGAAGATAGGAGGTCTCCAGAGCAGGCCCAGGCTCCTAGAGGCTCCCTGGAGCTTCCTAACTAGATTGGCCTGCCTGCTTAGAGCCCAGGCCAATTCGACAGCTCAGGTCTCAGAGGAGTTCCAGCTGGATGTCCTGCTTATGTGCTGCAAACCAAGGGCCTCTTCCTCTCTGCCAACCTCTACCAGTGTGCTGCTTCTACCTCCCACGGGGTCAACATGACCAAGACACAAACCAAAAAGCTGGGGATTTCTCATCGCCTTCCATGGCTCCCCTATGCCTTTGACACTGCCCAGACTCTGGATGTGGCTACAGCACCCTGAAGTCTTGGGATTTGCTTCTCAGCCCTACTGCCTCTTCCAGCCCCTCACCCCTCATGGACCACCCCTCATGGAAGTGACAGCCACCTAGATGGCCACTCAGAGCACAAGACCAACTATATTAGTGCTGACGCCTTTCTTTATTCAGATATCCCCGTCCACTGCCAGTGTCTCCTGAACCCCATCTCAGGTTCAAGATCTGGTGTGGGACAGTTTTACTACCTTAGAATCCCCCGGCAATACTCAGAAACATTGATTTCCCATTCACAGAGAGATGCAGGCCCAATGGGCAGAGTCAGTCTGGCAGTATTTAACAAGGAGAGAGGCCTTGGCCAGGACTCTGCATGCCCTCAGTGGGCTGTGGCTGCTTCTGGCCAAGGTTCAGGGAGCTGCTTGTCTGATGTGAGAAAGCCTCCAGCCTCTGGGTCAGGTTCGAGATGCCAGATCCTCCTAAGGAACAATGAAACACAAAGCCTTTACCTGCCTTCCTCCCTCCCTGGGCCACCTCCCAGGCCTTCTGAAGCCCAAGCTCTGCTGTGGAAGCCTCGAGCACTCTCTCCCAAAGTCTGTGGGCTCCAGAAGAGGTCACGACTAAAGGAGGGGACTCTGCCATGAAACTCAAAGGCTGGGGACTAGAAAGGCCTTGGAAATCACTTCCCATCAAACCCTGGTTCAAGACAAGAAGCCCATGACTCACTAAACCCCCACATTTTCACCTCTTAGCATGGATGGCATGTTCGAGGACCTGGTGGGCAGGGGTGGTGCAGAGGGTACCACTTCCTCCCCTATCAGCATCTCTGCCAGGACTGGTGTCTGTGTCCAGTCACTGTGGCACCTGGGTGTATATGGAGGTAGAATGAGCCTAGTGGCTCCAGACATCCCCCTCACCCTCCTATACCCCAGGTTTGGCCCACCTCTCTCGTGGGGTCTTGGAAGAACCAGGGCTTGGTACCCAGGGTGCAGGCCGTGCAGACAGAGACTTGTGCCCTGGGGCCTTGGGCTCTAGCGCCTGTGCCTGCTGAAAAGACCAAAACCCGTACAGGGTGACCTCAGTCTTTCCCCAATGCTGACCCTAGCCATGCCAGTCACACAGGATGCTAAGAACAGCAGGCCATTATATAGGTAGAGATGGGTCACTCATTTCCTCTGTGGGCGACAGATGGTTCTGGTAATGTCTTTTCCGGGGATTGGTAGCACCTTGAAGGCAGAGACTAAAACAGAGGTGGGTCGAATGCTTAGGCTAGCTTAGGGAGATAGATGTCCAGAAGGAATGGGTGAATGAATGAAGAAGTAAATGAAGACATGGGTGAACATGTGTGAATGAGACAGTAAGTGAAGGACAAAATGCACACTCCTAAAAGGAGGCGAGACTGGAGGCCAGGCGAGCAGACATTCCACATCCCGCCTGGGGAGAGAGGGACCCAGACCCAGCATTCATGCCCATGCCCCAGTCCAGAGCCCTGCAATCACCGGGCCTGCTGAACCCCAGGTCAGTGTCTCCAGTTTTCCAGGCTCCTCTTGGCCTTTCTTACTTGTGGCTCACAGCACTCCCTCCATGGGCAGGACCAGTGGGCCAGGGGTACTCGGCACAGGGGACAGAGGTGGTAGCAGGAGCAGAGGGGTGGCAGTGCCTGCAAGAGGGCATATTAGTGACTCTATGGCATTCTAGCTTGTCTCCCACAACCCAGTTGAGCAAGGAGACTCACGTGGCAGGAGGCAGCTGGACCCGTCGAGCAGGGGCACACGTGGGCAGAGCCCTGCTGGGGAAGGGAGCAAGCGGAATGGAGGTGCCTGGGAAGAAGCGTGGGGTCTGAGCCGTCAGCCTCAACCTTGACACCTCTCTCTAAACTCACCCCTCATGCACAAACTACCCTGTAAGGCAGCCAAGCTGAGACCCCATCTCCTAGAAGAAGGGCCCGCGATTCATGGTCATATGACTAGTCCAGAGTGACACATGCAGCCAGGAGGTGACAGAATCAGGAACCTGACTCTCACTTGTTTCATAAAGTCCCCTCTGCCAGCTTCCACATCCCAGGCCTTCCATATGGCTACACTCACCTCTCCAGTTCATGAACCTGCTGGGCCAGGAAATGCACCTCTGCCCGGGCCAGGTCCCGGCCACTCCGCAGCTGTCTCATTTCCTTCCTACCAGGGAGTAGGCTCTAGGTGATGAGAGGCAGGGCCAGCACCAGGTGGGAACCATGGGGAACAGAGAACCAGGGATGGGCAGGTAGTATCTTGGCCAAAGTAGATGAGCAAGAAAGGGTAGGGATAGAGCCCCAGGGCTGGCCCCATTCTTGCTTTACCTAAGCCTCTCATTCTCCAGCATAAACTCCTGTAGCATCCCATAGAGGTTCCGCTGGGCCCAGGCCTCCCGGGCTCCGTGGATCCCTGGTGCTGCAGGGAAACAGGGCATTGCTGGACTTCAATCCAGACTCTATCCACACCCTCTCCTGGCCCCCAGTGAGCTCGTACCCTTGGTCTGCATTTGATCCAGCTGGAACCGCAAGTGTTGATTCTCCTCTTGGAGCTGCAACAGCTCAGCCTCTACTTGCTGGGGAGGCTTTGCTGCAGGAGACTACCAAGGAAGAAACCCAGCGCCACTGTTTATGGCTGTACAGGGTGGAGCACTGCGCAAAGGCTTCCTGGTGTGGGCATTTATGGAGCCATTTGCCAGCTTTGCATGCTGGCCCAGGCTGCACCTTGTCCTCACTGGGTCATCCTGAAGGGACTCAGAAGCAGACTTGATTCCAAGCCCAAACTCAACTCTGTCTGCCAAGGTCTTGGCTTAGGTTGTGACCCCCAAATTAACCACATGGCACACCCCATATGAGATCTAACCAGCTGAAATCCTGGGTTGTTCCTGATGACAGCCCAACTCAGTCTCCAGCCCTAGGCCTGCCCAGACTCTAACTGTGACATAGACCCTTAGCTATTGTCCTTACATCAATCATGACACCATTCTCAGGATTCCAACCCAAATCCCAACTCGATTTCAATCAGGTTGATAACTCAGGCTCTGGCTGTTGCCCCCTCACCTTGGGCCCCTGTGGTCGGGTGGTGACCCTCTGAGCTCGGCTTGCGTATCGCAGAGTACTGAGAGTCTCAGGAAGGCACTGGGCTGATGGGGACACGCAGGCAACCTATGGAGGACCTCCCCTGAGTGCTCACCTGGAAGAGACCCATCCTCAGGGCCCAGTCCCTCTACCGGATCCCCCATCCTTCAGATACCATGAGGGTGACTCCACGGCCCCCAAGTGAGTCTGCCAGCAACTTGGTGAGCTTGCTGTCTCGGAAGGGAATATGGCTCTGCTTCCTCTGAGGGTCCAACAGAAGGGAGATGCAGTGGCCTGGTGAGCAAAGGAAGGCCCAGAGAGATTGCACTGTGTGCCCACAGTTGGCTGGCTAGGCTGCTACAGAGTGGGAAGCTCTACCAGGCTGGCAAAGCTCTAGCTCCATCTCATCGCTGTTCACATTGGCGCAGACTGGGCTCTCTGAAGGCACGGATGTGCTGCCCACCCAATTTCCAACATTCAGCAGAGACTCAAGAGATCTCCAACAAATAACTGAAAAGGAATGTCACCAGCAGCTCCCACGCCATAGGCAACTACTGAGGCTAGGCCCCTGGGGACCTGGGGCCAGCCATGCAGTTGGGTACACAGACCCATTCCTTTCCCCTTAACTGTTCTTGTCTCCCAAGTGTATAAAGGACATGTGTAATGCTGCTGACCTTAGAATGCACAGTCTGAAGATAACCAGAGGGAGGAAAGTTAGCCTCATACCCAAGGCCAGAAATCCTGCCCTTGCCCTGTGGTCTCCACAGTGTAGCAATGGCTCCAGAGTAGAGAAGGGACCCTATCCAGAAGTCAGACCTGTAGGCCCCAGCTCTTACCCAATGCCAGTAGGCTTCGGTTAATGCTATTGGCCTCAAGCATCAGCTGCCCTCGGGATCCTGTTGCTGCCACCTTCTCACTGCCTGCCAGGTCCACGAAGCACAGCCTTCCCCCAACAGGAGGCTCTCCAGGGTCCACAGGAGGTACCTGCTGAGGCTGGTGGACCAGGACTTGATGGGAATTGGAGAAGACTGTCTCCATCATAGTCACAAGGTCTCAAGGCCAAAGGTTTTCCCCCAAACACCCAGAAGATCCAAGCTGGTTTGCATATGCAAAGACAGAGCTTGCTGGGTAGCCTTTTCCCAGCCCTTCCCCAGACTGGGCACTCACAGTTGGGTGGCTGACATAGAGTGTGAGCAGGGCATGGCTTCTGCTGGAGGCCTGGTTCAAGGTATGCGAGGAGCTCCTACGGCGGCTGAGGCCTGAGGAAGGGGACATCATGAGCTGTGCCAGCTAAAAAAAAAAAATAGGTCACCCTTATGAAGGGCCATCCCCCCACCCCCCCTGCCCTGGATCAAGAATGTCAGAGAGGTGTCAGACAGAGGCACAGACTGGCTTAGTGAGTGCTGACAGGTGCAAGGAGTATGGGAGAAGGGAGCGGGAGATTGGCAAATAAGCAACTCTCCTACTGTGTGGGAAGACAGAGAATCAGAAGCAGAGATCAGCAGAGGAGTAGACCAGATCCAGTGCCCCAGTGTCCGCAGAGTCTGCCAGAGGAGGGTTCTAAGTAAATGCTCAAATGAGTAACGAAGGCTGGAATAGTAGCAGCTTATAGATAAGCTAGGCTAAGTGGTAGGACCATTGCCCGTAGTTTTTGCAAGAGTGGAAGGTCTGAAACCAAGAAGAGTGAGCAAGGGGCATGGGCAGACTATCTGGAAGGCAAGGGGACAGCATGTGGGTGTCCTTGTCACATCTTTGAATTGTTGCTTGGCTGGCCTTTCTCTGCCACAGAGTCCTTTCTGAAGTTCCAATTCCAGCAGCCCAGGTCCCCAGGGTGCCCAAAGTTTCTGTGAAGCATCCTACCCAAGTGCAGGAGCTGCATAAGGGCCTCCAGACTGCCAAACTCCACCACCCGAAGTTGCTCCACATAGAAGCCTCGAGCCTTGTTCCACCTAACAGGCAGAGGCCTTGGAGTCCCCAGGCTCAGCAAGTCCCGAACCTGGGAGAGCAGGGAGGAGAAGCAGGCTTCATTCACTCATAGTGACAATGGTCCCTCCTCCCACTCTGCTTCTTAGCACCCTTGGTCCTTGAAATATATAACCTTCTTTCCAGAAGTATTGCCATTTGCCTACCTGCTCATTGTAGATCTCCAGGTAGGAGGCTCGGAGGGTGACAGGGACACCCAGGTGCTGCACGCGATCTAATAGCCAGGCAAAGGTCCTCTGCATGATGCCAGCCAGGCTGGGAGGTACGGGCACCCGTTCCCCCTGGGGACAAAGACAGCAGGAGCTGCAGCAGCTGCTACACCGAGCCAGAAGTGGTGCCACGCTCCCCTCCCCACACCATCTCATTGGAGTCTCACAGTCAGTGAGATTCATCAGTGCTACACTACGGACGAATTAACTGAAAGCAATTAACTGAAGTTGCCCAAATTAGAATACAAAGCTCCAAACTCTCCAAGTCCCCGGGAGCCTCAGATACCAAATCTATGAATCAATAGGGCTGGATTTCTTTGAGCACGCCCCTTCCACCCCAGAGTCCTGCCCACAGCCCTACCTGCCTAACCCCGCTACCCACCTGTGGAGGAGGTCCTGTCAGAGTGTAAGTCTTCCCAGAGCCCGTCTGGCCAAAAGTGAAGACTGTGCAGGAGAAACTGTGGGCGGCAAGGGCGTGGCTGGGCCCGGGAGGTTGGGGCGGTACGGAGACCCATGTCCGGAGCAGCCCACACCCACTTACCCGCGCAGTGCCAGCTCGCCCAGGCGCTTCACACCACACACCCTGAACATGTCCTCCTGCGTGCACGTCCCGTCCAGTACCGCACGGAAGCGGAATGCCATGTCGGGGCCTCCACCTGGGGGGCTCACCTGGAGTGGGGATGGCATAAGGGCGGGGCACTGTGCAGGGCAAAGCACCCAGGATGGGAAAGGCCATCTGAAGGAGGGCGGAGCACTCTGAAGTTAGGGTCTTTAGAGTAGATGTGGTACACTGGAGGGGAGGGACCCTCTGGGATGAGCGAAGCACTGTGTGGGAACCGGACATTTGAAGAGGCAGACACACTGGAATGAGTGGGGTATCTGGGAAAGGGGCATTCTGGGGAGGGAGAGGGCACCTTAGGGAGGCGGGGCAATTAAAAGGAGGGTGGGGCACTTTGTAGAGGAGATAAGGGTCCTAAGGCAATGTTTCTCCACTTGGGCCCCCGGGGTCTCCTCCACAGGTTCCTTTGTGGAGATTGGGAAGGCTTTGTCACCTGCAGAGTCCGGGTCCCTGAGCAGTGCAGAACACTCTGTTCCCCTCTACGCAGCTCTGTGGTACTCATGGGACGCACCCTGGCATCCAAGAAAGACCAGATGGCCCATCCAGAAAATGCATTTGGTCCTTTTCCCAAACCAGGTGCTTCCTAGCCCATGTGTACTTACCTGAGCACCACTTGAATGGGAGTTTCTGGTCCCTCTGGCCCCTGCTCCAGGCTCCGTGCTGGGTCTCTGTAGCCACAAAGAGAGTTAGCACCTGTGCGTCCTTGCTGTCCTCTGGGCTAACTTCAAGGGCTCTGTAACCTCACATGAATTGTGCTTACCCGTCAGGAGAACCACGTTCCTCCATGTCCTGTACACGCGATTCCTTTCCTTTTCCAGTATCCCCCTTTCCCCGTCCCTTCACCACTGTGGGACTGTCCACACACACATTACATCCTCCTCCCAAACCTCCCACAACCAGTCATCCAGAAAGACTCCAGTCTGCCCAGAGCTAGCAAGTTAAAGATTTACCCACTGTACTCGGTGAGATAGGGAAAGTCCCATGCCAGGGCATTCTAGCTAGGGGGTTCTGGAGTCTAAGGAGCCCTTGCTTTTGGACAGTCTCCTCGGGAAGGATCAAAAGAACCACCTAGGCCATACTTCTTTGTCACAGAGTGACACCAATCAGGGGTGAGAAGGACTCAGCCAAGGCCACAGAGCCAGAGAAAGATTTAGGCTCTCTGGTACACACCCTTCCCTCTCCCAATAGCTCAGCCTTTTCTTAGCACAAAGCCCAGGGAGTGTAGGACCACAGAAAACCTGGCTGGGCGGCCTCTGAGCTGAGGTGATGTCAGCTTCCCAGCATCTGGTTAAACATTGTGCACCTGCCTCTGCCAGGCCAAAGCTAATCCAAAGCCAGTGTGGTGTTAAACCCCAGTGGTCTGGCTTACTAGAGCAGCAGAGATGGCTGTGAGTATGCTCAGGCTGGGCCATCACTCTTCCTTGCCAGTCACTAGGATGATTCCAGATCTGCCCGTTGCTACTGAGGAGATAGTGGTCACAACCAAGGGCATGGAGTCTTCAGGAAAGCTCAGGGGCTTGTAAGTGAAGGTGCATGGAGTTAGAGGGCAGATGAGCTGCTCCAAGTGAGGCACACACTTCAGGAAGGCAGGGATGAGGTGCAGAGATGTGGCAAGGAAAGATGCTTTGGGGCTGGTGAGAGGTACGTCCTTTGACAGTCCTCAGAGAACCAGGAAGTCAGTAAGGGTCACAAACAGAATTGACAGGTTGCCATTTGCCACTGAGTCAGCTAGAGGATAAGAGCATTAGAGAGCACAGGAGGAGGAGTCATGGGCAACGTCTGCCACAGGGAAACCTACGTCTTTGACTCCTCTGGGTTGATGGTGGAGGTGATGAGAAGAGTCAGACTTTGAGTAGTCAGGAACAAATCGATGGAGTATGTAAGAGGAATAAGTATAACTGTAAAGACATTCTCTCTCTCTCGCTCTCTCTCTCTCTCTCTCTCTCTCTCTGTGTGTGTGTGTGTGTGTGTGTGTGTGTGTGTGTGTGTGTGTATGAATGCATGTACGGGCATATGTTATGGTACAAGTGTGGAAGTCAGAGGACAATCTTAGCTTCCAGTCTTGCCTTCCACTAAGGGCGGGACAGATAGATGTAGCTCAGTTGGCAGAGTACTTGCCTAGCATGAATGAAGCCCTAAATGGAGGCCCTAGCACCACAAAAACTAGGCACACACCTGTAATCCCAACCCTCAGGAGAGGGAGGTAGACATCAGAAATTCAATGTCTCTCAAGCTACATAGCAAGTTCAAGGCCAGTCTGGAATCCATGAGAACCTGTACAATCATTAATCTTGGTTGTCAGCTTGACATGGTCTGTAATTATTTAAAACACAGGCTGGGCACTCATGCAAGGGATTCTTTTGATCTGATTGTTGGAGGTGGAAAGACACACTCTAAATATGGGTGGCACCTTCTGGTCTGAGCCTGGAGAAAAGAACATGGGAGAAGGAAACTTTGCTTTTTTGCCTGCTTGCCTTCAGTCTTCAGGCAAGTTCATCTACCCTGTTGCTGCCTCTGCTGTAACATTTTTTTTGGTGATTTTAGAACCAGCTTCTTCAGGCTTCCAGCACAGAGGAGAAGTAGACAAGACCCTGTCATAGATGGTGCAGGCATCAGGGTTCTCCAGAGGAGTAGCAGTGATGGGAGGAATATATACACATATATTGAACAGGGGTTTATTGGATTGGCTTATAAGACACAGTCTATGTACTCCAGCAACCTGTCTTCATGCAAGAAAGGCTGAAACCCAAAAAATGCTCTGCCCATGAGTGTGGAAGCCTCAGCACCCCCCAGTCTGCCACTGCAGGCCTAGGGGCATGCTGCAGAGTCACTGGTCTTCAGAAAGGATGAAGAGCTGGGTTTGGATATCAGGGAAGAATGATGGCAGCCTTAGCAGCAACAGGATAGATATATTCGTGAACAGGGTAGGCAAGCTTGCCAGCAAGACTCAAAGGCAAATAGCCAAAAGAAAAAAGCTTTTCCCTTAAGAAAGCTTATATCTGTGCTGCCACTGGAATTTACCATCCACATTAAGAGAGGTTTTCCCATCTTCAGTGTTGCTGACACCATCTATGGATTAGGGTTGAATAAGAAGGAGGAAGCAAGATAAGATAAACTTCAGCATCTGTCAGTCCCTGCCTCCTGACTGTGAATGCAATGTGACCGTGAATCTCAATTTCCTTTGCCATTACTTTGCCATCATGGTGAACTGTGTGCCCTCAAACTGTGAGCCAAAATAAACTCTTCTTGGAGTTGATTCTGCAAGATGTTTTGCCACAGCATAACTAATGCAAGAGATTAAAAACCAATCATGAAAGAGCATTTAAAGCTACTTTTTTCTGGTTTAGCCCCATCCTGATTTTTGTTCTGTTTTGGAATGGATCTGTAAATTCAACTTTCTGTCTCTTGAAGTAGCAAAAACCATTTTTGCAGCCCAAAGAATTGAACATATGTTATTCCTTTGAGACCATGACTCTTTTTAATTCCACTGGCCATAGTGCAGTAGGAACTGGACATGGAAAGTCACCAAATCATTTTGTCACATTGACCCATTTAGAAAGAGTGGTTTGCAAAAAACAAAAACAAAACAAAACAAAACAAAAAGAAACCCCCACTGTTCTGGGAAACACAGGTTTTCTAACCTGAAAACTTGCCCCCCTCTTTTTATAATATCAAACCAGCCATGATGGAATAAGCCTTTAATCTTGGCACTCAGGAGGCAGAGGTAGGCAGATCTCTATGAGTTCAAGCCCAGCCTGATTTCATAGCAAGTTCCAGACCAGCTAGGGATACATAATGAGACACTATCTAAAACTAGGTTTAAAACTATATTAAATCATATTATTATAGTGTTATTCAATATGTATATTATATTGCTATACATAAAGTATGGTTTTAAAAACCTGTTTAGAGAAATCATCTGAGCCAGAAAGATGGTTTGGTGAGCAAAAGGGCTTGAGCTAAGACTGAAGTTCTGAGTTCCATTTTTGGACCCATATGGTGGAAGGAGAGAACGCTCTTGTAAGTTGTCCTCTGACTGCACACACACACACACACACACACACACACACACACAGAGGCACATGTGCATGACCACTTGCACATGCTCATACAAATAAATAAATACATGCAAACAAAAGGGAAAATGACAAAAACTAATCACCCCTGTTCCAGCTCAGGAACCTGGAAAGACAGCATAGTCAACACAGGAAAAGGACGGAAATGGCAAGGCTGAGAGCAGAGACTAATGAAACGCGTAGCTGGTACAGCACAAAATGCCAACAAACACAAAAGTTGTCTTTTTAAGAAATAATAAATGTGAGGGGGCTAGAGAGGTGCCTGAGCAGTTATAAGCAAGTCCTTATCCTCACAGAGGACCAAAGTTCAGTGTCAACACCTGTATCAATCATCTCACAACTGCCCATAACTCCAGCTCTGGGGGATTGAAACCCTCTTGAAGCCTCTAAAGTCACCCACACAATAGAAAATGAAGAAAAAGCACATTTTTAGCATTAGCAAGTTGGACTCCACCTAGATGAGCCCAGTATTGCTAAGAACACCGAAAGCGCTGTGATGAGGAGCCAGGTAGATGTGTGTCTTCGCCCCACCAGAGCCAGCACTTGAAGATGATGAGGCTGGAGCCACTTTCTCCTCTGCTTTAGATGCCATCTTGATGAAAAAGCAAAAGTTGGCTTTTGGATGAGACCGTTAACTTGTATAAATGCCAAGCTAATTAATACAGAGAGGATCGAGAAAGCAAACAAAACAAAACAAAAATTCAGGTATCAGAAACAAATAGGGGACTTTGCTATGGATATTGTAGAGATTAAAGAGCAAGATGTTCCTATCAGTGACTTTATAATAATAAATCTGAACTTATCCATTCATTAATGTGTGGACAAATCTGTTAAGACACTCACTTAGTAAAATAGGGGAAATGAGTAGATATCTGTGTAATTATATATCTGTTGAACAAGGTAGATTTGCAATTGAAAACCTATCTGCAAAGGAAACTGTTGGCCCAGTGGCCCTGTCTGGGTAATCTTTAAAACATAAAAGAAATCGTAATGTCAGTCTTGTGCAAACTCAGCACTGGGACCTGAGGGGGCACTTCCAAGTTTTTCTTTTCTTTTTAATGAATTAGTCCCTGATATTCAAGCCCTACAATGGCATCAGACAAAAAGAAAATGACAGGCATTAACTCTAATGACTACATGTAACAAAATCCCAAGGAATTGTCATCTAGTCAAACACAGAGATATGTGACACTTGAAAATTAGCCTGTGTTGTTCAACACACTACAAGAAAAATACAAAACACCATCCCAATAAATACTGAAAACAACTACAAAATGTAACAGTTATTAATGATTTTAAAAAAAGTAAAAGTTCTGAGCAGTGAGGAAGCATACAATGGATGCTTCTTAGTTGAAAAAAAAGGTTATCTATAGAAAATCCATATTTAACATCATATTTAATGATTAAAATTGCTCTTTATTCCATGACCATGGTACACATTGATAAAGTTGTCTCTTGGTGTCCTTGGGAGGCTGGTTTCAGGGTACTCTCTCATACTAAAACCAAAGCATGCTCAAATTCCTTACATAAAATGCATAGTTGGGGCTGTAGTCAGAGTGTTGACTACACAAAGTATGAGAACATGAGTTC